CATCCTTCAGCTTCATCCTTCTTGAACATAAGTTAAGTATTTAACTCTCGAAGGACGTCGGGGGAGCCGCGATTATTATATTTTTCCTGTCGTGAAGATACTAGATCACACGACCACTTATCCGGCATCCTTTTGAAGCATGCACTTAACTAGTACAGATGAATTACTTATAGTGAAAGCCTTAATACCAAGAAGCACAATAACGTAGAAAAGCGCGTGCATGTCTTCAAGGCATTGTTGGACTTCACAGCTCGTCTCGCTCGCTCCTCAACTGACACGACAAACCGTCTCAGCCGCAGTTTCCACTCTTAGTAGAAGACTTATTGATATTTCAGATTCAGATAGCATAAGCATTAACAACTAAATCTAAAAGTAAATCTTCGATAGAAGAGTGAGAGTGCCAGCGAGGCGAAATAGAGAGAACATCAAAATGTTTTTCGTCTATTATTCAATCATGATGAAAAATCATTTATACTATCGCTATCGAACCTGCAGCAACAAGGACACTCACAGTATGCATCGACATCAAGGAAGATCGAGACTCATAAGTGACGTTTTTTCTAAGGTCGTTAGTATGCTGCTGCAAAAAAGAGGACCATGCGGATCTGGTCGCTGCCAACAGGGTCTGCGCATGGTGATAGTAAATATTAGACCAGGCTCAACAACTGTATGAAAAGTCATCTCGGCTGATAGTCCTCCTTCGCAATGTCGGCGAAAGATGATAGTCCTCCTTGACCTTGACATAGACCTTGACTCAGATGTGTCTATAATAATTATAATAAATATCATGCTTTGACGCTGCAGAGGGAACAGTGCTTGCGCTGCTTGAAATTATATATCTATTTAATAATATTTTTGTGTTTGGACTAGACGGCGATTGATGTTGATCATAAAAAGACTAGCTAATCCTGCGTAGAAAATTCATATATCTATATTCTATAATAATACGTACTTAGCGTAATTGTGGATGTGGATGTTGTCATCCCCAAAGTGTCCACCTCCTGTGTTGATAATTTCCAGCAGGACCCCTTGAATTATGAGTGTTAGCTCTTAAAGATGGCCCACTTCTGCTTTTGCCTTCGACGTTGCTGCCCGCTAGTAATCGCTCTCCTCCTCTCAGAGTCGGACAGGAAGTTAGAAGTGGCACGAGGAACAACACTGTCTACCACCAACACCAAAAGCTTGAACTTGAACTAGACCTACTATGAGTTTGAGTTTCTGTAAGCAGAAGCAGTTATCAATTTATAATTATATTTAAATAGTCATACTCATCTTAACAGTGAGGATCTTGTTCAGCATCTTCCTTTCGTCCTTTGCATCATGCGGCACGTCATTGCTCGATGAAGACGAGGACGAAGACGAAGAAGACGAGGATGACGTGGTCGTCGCTCCTCCGTGAGTCGTTGATCCACGTTCTCCTGTAGTCGTCGCTCCTTCGTGTTCGCAATCCCCGTGGGTCGTTGACGTAGTTGATCCACGTTCTACTGTTGATGAAGGTGCTACTGAGTAGCCCAAACGTGTAATGATGAGTCTCTCCCTCACCTTCCGTACAATTTGCCTGCCTCTCCCCTCAAGGTCAGGGGCGGAGGGGCTGGCTGACAACATGATAGTTGTAACAATTGGCTCTCGACGTTAAATGTTAAGTTGTCATGTTGTATTCCTATTTTTCATCAGAGGTTTCCAGCTAGCTCTGTGCTAGCTACTACGACGACGCCGTCGGTCGCGACGAGGGCCGCTTCAGCGCCATCGCTTCACCCTTGAAAGGTATCAGGTCACGTCGATGTCACTTCATCTTGTTATAGCCGCGCTTAACTACTTAACAAGGAAAGCATTTGCATTAAAAATAGAGCTGCGTGCTATCTTCATATTATCGCTCTTTCAATTTGTCGCTTTTCACTCTTGCAGAAGACAAATCGCGTAAGTATGCAGCACATCAATTGCAGGAGTATTAATTTGGTCTCTTTTTCACGTCGTGGTAAATTCAAATTTTACGAAGGACGAGGCGGGTGGTTCTCTCACTTTTTAGGGATGGTTGGGGCACGACTCACAAGCAGGTCTTTTATCTACGTCATCCAGCACATCTTTCTCTGCAACTGCGACCGATTTACTCTTCCGTCAAATTAATATGATTAGCACTAGACTACCAAGAGGAGGGCCAACCGCTAATGCTACAGCGAAGGCAGATGAGCGTCAGTCCTGCTTTAGTGTATGATTAAGCAATGCGGAAATCTTGATCGTTTTCTTGTGGCAAATGCGGTGGCCTATCCAGATTCTTTCAACGATTGTCATACGATCGTTCTCATCCATTCTTCTAATGACATCCTCTTGACGAGACTAGGGGAACAAAACACTTTCGCTGCCTTTCTCGAAACGTCGCTGTAGACCTAGACCTCAAAATTTCGAGACCATGCAGACACACTCAAGCCATGCCGATGAAGGGCATGAGACCAAGGAAAACAGCTTCATAGTTTACCGAGAAGAGTGTTGATGTGTCATGTGGCGATGTCCAATGAGACACCAACTTCGGAGGTGGTGCAAATTGTTTTTGTTGCTTCTTGTAGAAGTAAAAAGTTGTTGCTGGTAGGTGCTCAGTAACAATATCAAGGAGGTGCATTGCGAGGCTGACAACGATAACACTTAGGTCACAGTCTGTCTTCACATGAGAATGAAGTCTCGCCATTTTCTGTCTTGTAATGACTAGAATCTAGAACCTGAGGACTTGCGAGAACCTGATATTCAATTTTTCTGGTACAGGTAGTCGTGATTGTAATAACTATGTCGGCCACAGGTGCCGGTGGTCCTTCCTCTGGCATGATCTTCAACACACATGGGGAATGGGAAGTACTTCCTGAGAAACAAAAACTGGAGTTGAAGTACAGAATTTCGATTTGCATCGTCTTGTCTGTCATAATCATCAAAAATGGGTTGTATGTTCGAGTTAGTTTTTCTTATCGAAAATTGAAATTCTGATAATTTGTTTTCGTGTTCTTGGTTGTATCTTGTAGTTGTCAATATAATTTTTTTTCCAATACAGTGATGAGGTTCATCTAGCAGACCTAAGCTCAAATCTGGCCCTAATTTTCAATCCTACAAATAAGAGCGCCCTCAAGGCTGCTCCGACTTTAGTAGGTCGCCAATCGCGCTTTTAATAGCGGGCCGGAGTTCGTCGGCTCTCTGCCCCATTCCTGCCCCTGCGCGAGCACTCAGAAAAGTGCTCCAGAAGATACGATCAAATCTGGTCGGCAAACAAGTTAGATCATGCTCACACCAAAAGCAAAATCAATTTTGGAATGCATCCTGGACCATTTTCGTCCCTCTTGAAAACGGTCTCAGCATGCTTCTCAAAATCGCACATTTGTGGAAGCCTTAGAGCAAACTGAGAAAGGAAACCGGTCAGGGGAGCCTGCTCCGTCTGCTGCTGAAATATCGGCATAATCAGTTGATTGAGCGCCACTCCCACTACAACGGCGGCCTTTTCACTCCTGAGGAGATGATTGGTTACAAGAAGACGTCCTCATGTGAAGTAAAAGAAAACAAAGTGACAAGTTTGTTTTTGTTGTTATCGTTGACAAAAAGCTCAAAGTACACACGAAAAGCACGTAAATAAAGCAGAACAAGTCGCACCCGCCCGCTTTATCCATGAACTCGGGACTTCGCCTTAGCGCTGCCAGAATGAGGCTCTGGAGATTCTTATCTCTTTGTCTCAGCTTTCCCTCTTCTGGTCCCGGTTTACCAAAATACTCGTAGCTTTTTTCATTTCTGTTCATAATTGCGTCCGCCACGGATGCCACTAGATTGGCGATTGCGGCTAAACTCAAGTAGCAAGGGCACCGGAGCCGTTATCTAGATGATGATGAGAATCAAACAAAGAGTGAGCATGCGTTAGATGAGTTTGCGTTTGTGTTTGAGAAGTAGGATCAGAAAAGTTGTAGCCCTGTTGCTCGAGTGATCATAGGAAGGAGAGTAAGCCAGTCTTCGATTTTGTAGCTAGTAGATGTATGGTTGAGTACTAGTACAAGCACAGTTACTATTACTTAATGGCTTTTTGAGTACTTAAACAGAACAAGATCGATTTGAAGAAAGATTGTACGCGCTTAAACTTATCACTATGACGACAGAGCGAGAGCCTAAGTTTCAATTTTATACTTTTTCGTTTATGGGTGTGTAACCCTCCACCTCGTCGTTCTCGGAGGCTTTGCTCTTCAACTTCGAGATCATTGCGTCAAGCGCATGATTTGTTTCGCTTTGGTATGCTTCCAATCGTTCAGTCTGTTTTTTGCAGCAAGCAATAAGACTTCAGCGAGGATGAAAGTGAAAGGGTGATAAAACTTCTATTGTCAAAAATTCTGAGAAGCGCGATTATCATTATATAGTATCTACTTACTTATACTATGTGGTAACCCGACGAAGTAAAAAGTACTTTTGCAGCAGGGTCTGTAGCTGTAGGCCCTCCACTGGGGGCTCCACTTTTCCCAGCGTCAAAGGATGAGCGTGAACTAGCGGCAGCAGATTGCGAACTAGCGTTGTCATCTTGTGAACTAGCGGCGGCAGGTGGTGCGCCAGGGCTGCGCGCATCACCTTGTTGACTAGCAGCAGCTTCAGGTTTTTGCGCACCTTCGCTTTGAGGAGTAGATGATGATGAAGACGGGGCGTCCTCATGCCCAGACTCTTCTGCCTTTGCATTTGCTGCTTCTTGAGAGAGATGTTGGTGCTCCAGGTCACCAGAAGTCTGGGATTCCTTCGATTAAAGGGGCTTTTCCTTCAAGACAGTGACAATGCTCACGAGAAGATAAAAAAGTCTGAGTTTTTTTATACTTATGTGCAACTCTTCTTATCTATCTTTAGTACTAGTAGTATGTAGAAGAGACTAAGACTAAATCTAGTAGACGTAGAGATCATAACATCTCTCCCATGATTCTCGATCTTTTCTACTGAGCAGGAGCAAATCCAACTCTTGTTGATAACGAGGAAATAGGTACTTCATCGAGCACAGACTTACACTGCAATCAACTTCGCACTACATCGACCTTTTTACGAACCGACTTTGTTAGCCTGCTGATTTAGCCAGTCTTTCGTCAGTGTCTCTATTGAAGCTAGCAGTAAAAGTGGGACCATCAATCTTGCGCGTAAGGTGTCTCCTTGACATTTCGTGAGGTTCCACATGACGTTTCTTTCTCGAGAAAAGAAGAGGCGTCGCCGTTTGCCTCAGTTGTTAGAAAGACGCAGTGAGTATTTTACACCGCCCACGTACCCCCAGCGTGTACACACACCGGGGCAGGGCGGAATGGTCCTACAAATTCTACCAACTACATTAAAGGCTTACGGCCTACCGGCGTAAGAGTAAGACGAAGGACGCGAAGATAAACAAGATACGACATAAGTGAAAGACTTACGTGCTACACGTGCACGCTTTTACGTGCTACATATATACTGGCAGCACCTTAGATAGAAGTTAGTGGGCTACGCGTAGCGAGCAGGTTCGTCTTAGCCAGCAAGCGGGGCTGCGCCTAGAAAGCAGGCGACGTCTAGCAAGCAGGTCACGCTTAGCGAGCAGCCTATGCCTAGCACATGCCTGGCGCGCGAGCTATGCCTAGCAAGCAAGCAAGCAAGCAAGCAACGCCGATTCTTAGCAAGCAAGCCAAGCTTAGATCAAGCACGCCCGGCTTAGCAAGCCAGCTCGGCTCAGCAGGCAAGTTATGCCCAGCGAGCAAGCTTGCCACGCTTAGCGCGCGGGCTCTGCTTAGTATGCAAGCAAGCTACGCGCAGAAAGCAAGCTATGCCGGGCAAGCAAGCTACTCTGAGCATGCAAGCTAAAGCTATGCATAGCAAGACGGTGACGCTCAGCAGGCGAGCTATGCTCAGCAAGCGCGCGACGCTCAGCGGACCCGCTACGCTTAGCAGGCACGCTATGCCCATCCCCGCAGGCCAGCTACGCCCAGCAAGCCAGCTACGCCCAGCAAGCCAGCTACGCCCAGCAAGCCAGCTACGCCCAGCAAGCCAGCTACACCCAGAAAGCCAGAAATGCTCAGCAAGCACGCCCAGCAAGCCAGCTACGCCCAGCGAGCCAGCTACGCTCAGCAAGCCAGGCACGCTCAGCAAGTCAGCTACTTACGCTCAGCAAGCCAGCTACGCTCAGAAAGCAAGCTGCGCCCACCGTAGCCAGCGATGCTTAGAGAGCAAGCTATACTTGGCCAACAAGCTACGCCCAGCAGGCAAGCCATGCCTAGCAAACCAGCTTGCTAGCTACACCTCAGCAGTGCATTGACAGCGCAACTGATGAAGCACGTAAATAGCCCGAGGCTTTGACTGCCGAAATACTTACCAGGAGCAAGACCGTGGAAGACATGCGCTCAAAATCGCGGCGCCCTTTTTTATGGCGTGGATACATCTAGCCCATACATCTTCCCCATGATTTCCGCACATCTCAAAAGTACCAGTATGGAACTCCGCAAACCCCTCAGCCCACGGGTCGCCCCGTTGTGAGTACATCTCGCGCGCGCGTCTTTTCATCTCGCACATGCATCTTTTCAAGGATTTGCGAGAAAGATGGACGCCGCGCGATATATATCGCCGCCGTATACATCTAGCCCGCACATCTTTGCAGTGATTCCCGTGCGGTACATCAAAAGCCGCAAAACTACTCCTGTCCAAGCCTAAAGCTCAGCTTTGATCTATAACGTAGATAGTTGAATCATAATAATAATGCTGTCATGATGTAGATCTAGTTCTAGATTCATCATGTTCATCTTCAGTATTCAGTACGCCATAGCTTCAACTTCTTCGCGCTCCTCTCCAGGACACCTCACAAGAAGAAGGAGTACTTTAAACCAAGTTATCAGGTCCGAATTCCACAAGATCTTGATCTTCCTTACATCTGTCCTACTATCTATCACGCAGTTATGCTAAGACGAGGCTGAACAAAATAAAGGATTTCATTTGTATGCATAGAGGAAGAACAAGAGTACTAGAAGTAGTACGAATTTGGTATTTACCACATTTATTTGGTTGAGGGTTCACTGACTCGCTAGAAGTAGTACGAATTTGGTGCCTCCACATTTAAGTGGTTGAGGGTTCACTGACTCGCTTCCTTAACTTCCAGTCTTGGTTCTGTTCTCCTTGCCTGCAGGAACCGGGCGTCGATGTGCAGTCTTGGTCGACTGCCATGCTAGGTTTTAGAGAATAAAAGGGCTTAGGAACAATTCAGGTTTTAGAGAATAATGGGCTTAGGGCTAGGGCTTACCATCAAGATCATCTAGAACGCGTCCTATACAGCGCTACGGAGCTATGATGAGGAGGTTGGGGCTTAGGGTCAAATTTAGGGCCTAGGGCTAGGATTCAATAAATGCTATTTCTCGACGGTGTATGGGCTAGAGTTATAGAGAGGAAGTTCCTGTGAGAAACATTTCATCAATACCATAATTCATCTGGTCGCCGTTTTTGCGTTCCACGGAATTTTCCGTGTTCTTGTGATGCCGCTCCACGGAAGTTTCCGTGTTCTTGTGATGCTGCTCCACGGAAGTTTCCGTGTTCTTGTGTCAATACAGGTAGAGACACAATTAGACCTCGTCTCCGCATCCTTCAGCTTCATCCTTCTTGAACATAAGTTAAGTATTTAACTCTCGAAGGACGTCGCAGGAGCCGCGATTATTATATTTTTCCTGTCGTGAAGATACTAGATCACACGACCACTTATCCGGCATCCTGCTTTTGAAGCATGCACTTAACTAGGTAGTACAGATGAATTACTTATAGTGAAAGCCTTAATACCAAGAAGCACAATAACGTAGAAAAGCGTGTGCATGTCTTCAAGGCATTGTTGGATTTCACAGCTCGTCTCGCTCGCTCCTCAACTGACACGACAAACCGTCTCAGCCGCAGTTTCCACTCTTAGTAGAAGACATATTGTTATTTCAGATTCAGATAGCATATTAAGCATTAACAACTAAATCTAAATGTAAATCTTCGATAGAAGAGTGAGAGTGACGGGGAGGTGCAATAAAGAGAAAATAAAAATGGTTTTCGTCTATTACTAAATCATGATTAAAAATCAAAATCATTTATACTATCGCTATCGAACCTGCAGCAACAAGGACACTCACAGTATGCATCGACATCAAGGAAGATCGAGACTCTCTGCCACAAGTGACGTTTTTTCGAAGGTCGTTAGTATGCTGCTGCAAAAAAGAAGACCATGCGGATCTGGTCCCTGCCAACAGGGTCTGCGCATGGTGGTAGTAAATATTAGACCAGACTCAGCAACTGTATGAAAAAACATCTCGGCTGATAGTCCTCCTTCACAATGTCGGCGGAAGATGGTAGTCCTCCTTGACCTTGACATAGACCTTGACTCAGATGTGTCTATAATAATTATAATAAATATCATGCTTTGACGCTGCGGAGGGAACAGTGCTTGCGCTGCTTGAAATCATCTATCTATATATAATAATATTTTTGTGTTTAGACTAGACGGCGATTAATCATAAAAAGACTAGCTAATCCTGCGTAGAAAATTCATCATATCTATATTCTATAATAATACGTACTTAATAGCGTAATTGTGGATGTGGATGTTGTCATCCCCAAAGTGTCCACCTCCTGTGTTGATAATTTCCAGCAGGACCCCTTGAATTATAAGTGTTAGCTCTTAAAAATGGCCCACTTCTGCTTTTGCCTTCGACGTTGCTGCCCGCTAGTAATCGCTCTCCTCCTCTCAGAGTCGGACAGGAAGTTAGAAGTGGCACGAGGAGCAACACTGTCTACCACCAACACCAAAAACTTGAACTTGAACTAGACCTACTATGATTTTTAGAAGTTTCTGTAAGCAGGAGCAGTTATCAATATATATAAATAGTCATACTCATCTTAACAATGAGGATCTTGTCCAGCATCTTCCTTTCGTCCTTTGCATCATGCGGCACGTCATTGCTCGATGAAGACGAGGACGAAGACGATGAAGACGAGAGTGACGTAGTCGTCGCTCCTCCGTGGGTCGTTGATGTAGTTGATCCACGTTCTACTGTTGATGAAGGTGCTACTGAGTAGCCCAAACGTGTAATGATGAGTCTCTCCCTCACCTTCCGTACAATTTGCCTGCCTCTCCCCTCGAGGTCAGGGGCGGAGGGGCTGGCTGACAACATGATACTTGTAACAATTGGCTCTCGACGTACAATGTTAAGTTGTCATGTTGTGTTCCTGTTTTTCATCAGAGGTTTCCAGCTAGCTCTGTGCCAGCTACTACGACGACGCCGTCGGTCGCGACGAGGGCCGCTTTAGCGCCATCGCTGCGCCCTTGAAAGGTATCAGGTCATGTCGATGTCACTTCATGTTGTTATACCCGCGCTTAACTACTTAACAAGGAAAGCATCTGCATTAAAAATAGAGCTGCGTGCTATCATATTATCGCTCTTTCAAGTTGTCGCTTTTCACTCTTGCAGAAGACAAATCGCGTAAGTATGCAGCACATCAATTGCAGGAGTATTAATTTGGTCTCTTTTTCACGTCGTGGTAAATTCAAATTTTACGAAGGACGAGGCGGGTGGTTCTCTTACTTTTTAGGGATGGTTGGGGCACGACTCATAAGCAGGTCTTTTTTCTACGTCATCCGCATCTTTCTCTGCAACTGCGACCGATTTACTCTTCCGTCAAATTAATATGAAAATTAGCACGAGACTACCATAAAATTTGATTGTCTCCCTCAGCCTCAACGTGAACTACCGATGAACAAGATCCATATCTTCTGAAGTAGAGGAGAGCTAGCCGCTAATGCTACAGCGAAGGCAGATGAGCGCCAGTCCTGCTTTAGTGTATGATTCAGCAATGTGGAAATCTTGATCGTTTTCTTGTTGCAAATACATTGGCCTATCCAGATTCTTTCAACGAACGTTATATATACGATCGTTCTCATCCATTCTTCTAATGACATCCTCTTGACGAGACTAGGGGAACAAAACACTTTCGCTGCCATTTTCGAAACGTCGCTGTAGACCTAGACCTCACAATTTCGAGACCATACAGACACACTCAAGCCATGCCGATGAAGGGCATGATGAGACCAAGTAAAACAGCTTCATAGTTTACCGAGAAGAGTGTTGATGTGTCATGTGGCGATGTCCAATGAGACACCAACTCCTTACTCATACGCGTTGGAACTAGCAGAGGAGGAGGACATCTTCTCGTTGACAATGTTGTGATCGCTGAAACAAGCTTTGAAGCGGGGAGAACAGTGCTTGAATCTGAGCTACAGTGTACACCTATCAAAAGACCTTGTGATCATTAAAATAGCAGGAAAAAGAAGTATTTTTAGTTGTATCTATGTATAGGAACAGAAAAGGCTAGTTACTAGCCGCTAGAAGTATTAGTACTTAAATGTTCTGCTTTATTGTAATCTTTGACGACACGATCACAAACGCAAACATCTTCACGTTCATCTTCTACTTCTCTTCCATCGATGCTAGTTTCTGATATTCAACTACAACAACCAATGGGAAGGATTCTTCCTGCAACTCGTTTTAACCCAGCTGCTTTTTTGTGGAATTCAAAGCTCCCTTCTCGAGACTCATCTTTCGCTTGTCGTAATACATTTTTGGGGAGGCGATCATCCATGTTGATTTGGGAGATAGAGCCAACGTTGTTCCATCGTCATAATGCTCATCAAAGCACTACCGCACAGTGTGTGGTCTTCCTTTACCTTTTCGATGTGACAAAAAAAACTGGAGTTCTTATGATGACAATTTTGGTGTTTGGAGGAGTCGTGCATTGGATGTGAGAAATGAAGGCTTGTTGGGGGAATCCTGCTTGTCAGTCTTAGGTCTTGTTGAAAGAAGCACTGGAGGACACGGTGATTGTACTTGTACCCGATATAGATTTGCATTTGGACACGATCATTAAATACTTATCGTTTCCGCCCTTGAATGCGCGGACCACATGAGAAAGATATGGATCAACATCCAATGTAAGTCAATGTCAAGATTCTTCCGATTCACTTGCGTGGCGTACGCTACCCCGACATCCACCACATGACCAGCTCTTGACCTTGATCAAAATGCTAGAAGGTAATGCTAACCTGCAAGGATGACGTTGACGACCAAAAATAATGATGCTCTTTAGGCACTTGTCTCACCGCACCTCTGACTGGATCGGATATCATTCATTAGCTTCGACAGAGAATCGTTTGTTCATGTATTCAGCGTAATTCTGTCGCACCGGAAGCAGCAGCTGACGAATCTGATCCTTGTTCTGTTCCGGTTTGTTCCAGAATATGGGTGAAAAACGATTCGAGAAGGGCGAACCTCTGGGCAGCCGAACTATCGATAGCCAAGTGTCATCGTCAGAAAGGGGTCCGCTCAAGATGGCAAGACAGGCAGCTATGAAGAAGGGAAAAGGCAGTGTCGCCCATCCATCCGTGGCGGTAGGAAGGAAACCATGCTCCAGCACAAGACGTTGAGAGCAAGAGTCTACTCTGCTAAGCTCCTGCTCAGCGATCCTCTTTACAGATGAGAAACCCATTCGCCTTATTGTGTCAGCAGCTACTCCACCTGACGTGTGTGCGTCAGCACAGAGGAGCACCAGCCTGGCGTGCCAACCCGGGTCATAATGTGCCATCCCGATACGAGCGTCACCCAGAGAAATTTCATCGAAGACCTCGCCTAATCCTTCGCCCCCAACATCGGGAAAGACCTTCTCCAAGACATTTTAGAGCTCACATATTCGTACTGCTCACTATTAGGTTCATCTTGGTTCCGTCATGATCGTCCTCGTGTTTTCAAATCCAAAAAAGGTTAAAGTAAGAAAGTAGAAGAAAAGCTAGTAGTAGGCATTGGCATGGCGAAGCTTGAGTGTGAAAATACTTAATCGGAGCATTTGTCTACACGCGCGTGACGGATTTCCCTAATGGCAATCTGGACTACCTCCATGAATGAACCTCCATAAATGTGAAATTGGAGCAGCCACCAACTCGAAGGGGCCTTTTCCATGAGTTCAGCCCTCAACTTTTTCGTAGCAGGACATTCGGCATAGTTCCCAGGTGCACCGGCACATATCTGGTATAACCGCTTCGCGGACCACGTGCCGTCAGGATGATCGTGTTTGGAGTGCTTCAATTGGGGCAACTCGTTCACCCAAGAGTCTTTTGTCTTTCTAATATGGAGTTTGTGGCTCAGCCTTTGAAAATGGACTCATGTGCAAGATCACGCTGCAATTCTTTGGGAGTGCGCCAGCCTGGACCTTCCTTGAACAGGTACGAGATGGTGCATTAGAGCTGATCGCAGTCGCAAAGAGTCACTTACACTTCCCGGAAGGCATATCCTATTTTCTAAGGTGGACAAATTGTCGAGAAGATGAAGCACACGGCAACTATGAGTATGACTTAGCGTCGCGTGGGCCTTGAGTGTAGGTCGGGGGACTGTGCATGGTCTTTTTGGGGGAGTTGTCGGTTGCATTTCCGCTGTGGTCCTCTCGAACTTGATCAGCAACAACATGATCTTTTTCGAACTCATCATCCAGGGCTTCCTCACCACGTTCCACCTCCATCATGCATGTTGCTGCTGGCTGTGGCTTTTTTTCGGTAGTAATAGTATTAATTGCTTCACTAGTACTAGTTCCGACGACCTTCAGGAGAGACGAACTTTGATTTTCTTCAGCAGTTTTTGTCTCAGGGTTCACCAGATCCTGGTGTTGACCACTTGTATCTACTGTTGTACTACAAGAATGAGGCGTGTTCTCTTTTGACAATCTGAGGAAATATGCGAGAGATGCCCATGGCGCTGTCCTCGGTAGGGGTACGACGTACGTCGTATATTTGGATAAAGCCCTCTCGGTCCCGCTCATCCTCACGACTTTCGTTGCCCTTGCTCTCCTTGCCTTGGCCGCTCGCGTCCTCCTCAGCGTGACAACCTCCCTCGGCGCTACCTTCGCCCCCCCGCATCCTTTCGCTCGACCTTCTTCTTGACGTAAATCATGCCTGGAGGAATAGGCGGCCCGTTATAGTCCGTACGTTCCGTGAGGGCACCAGCTATCCTGTGCTGTAGTTCGTAAAAGGTTTCACTGATCGGGATCGCACCTCGATTTAGATGATTCCGACTAGGTTGCTACGGTCTCGAGCAAATCAATAAGAATAACTGAAACAGGTGCGGGTCTACTTCGTTCAAAGTAATCCCAGCAGGGAAAACAACTATGGTCTTGATGATTGGTTAGATGATTGATTTTGATGAGCCCTAAACCCTGATTTTCATTCATGGGGTATACATTGTGTTTGGAATCCCGTAACAGGGTAAGCACGTCTCCAGATAGCATATTCCGTGCCTCGATGTTGACCTCCGAGCAACCGCTAACGTCACCACCATCAGAGGCCGCCTTCTTGATATGACTTTCCTCCACATCCTCACCCACGCGATCCTTTACGTCCAAGGCTGGCATCTTGACAATTCTTATTTTTATGCTTCTGTTGTAGTTCTTAATGTTGTAGTGATTCTGTATGACTAGTACTTAATCTATAATTGAGCTCATTTCAAACCACAGTGAGTGTTAATATTGCGGAGCTACGATCATGACCATGACGTTGTTCTACAGTGGAAGTGTATCTGTAACATTCCGAATATAGAGGGTAGGAGGAATCTAAATTTTTGAAGACACAATGTCCATTTACATACTACAACATCAATATCAATATGAATATCTTTGATGAATTTTGGAATACAATCAGAGGTAGTTGTGGCGTTACCAATTTGTGATCAGAGCCTCTCGTTGAAGTCAAATTCTTCTTGTTGGTGTAAGACATTGACATCCTCTACTAATATTTGCCAACCTTCAACGACAAAGCTTGACAGCGAGCACCAGCTTGCCAACAACGGGCACACACCGGGGAAGCGATCATCCATGTCGATTTGAATGGAAAGGACTCGACCTTGCGCACATTGATTTTTGCGAACATAGTCATCATGAACATGATCATCGTCCATAGGACATCCACATGACAGAAGTCACGCGCACGGTCAGCTATTCTTTTCGATTTGACAAAAAAACTGGAGTTCTTGTGATGAGAATATAATCGGAGCTCGTGGGGGTCGTGCCCTGGATATCAGAAGTGGAGGTTTTGAAAGTCCTGGCTTTCATCCCTTTCCTTGGATCACATGTTCTAGTAAGCATCGCTTTTATAGATATAGTTCGAGTTGGTGTCTAGTGGTCTAAGAATCAAAACGTTTCTATCTGATCGGGCTTGTTCGTTGTTAATCTTCATAATCGTAGTTTCGTTGGTCTGTTTGTATTTAAAAACGTTGTTCCTCTTCTCATTCATTGTGCTCATCGTGACGATGTTCTCTTGGAGCATACTTGCAGCTATCGTTAGCATGCTTACTATTTACAACAACCACACGCAGCTTCGCATCCTAGATCGATGGAGGGAGCAACGAGCTTTGAAGCAGAGAACTCAGTGCTTGATTGAATATGCTAGAGTGTACACGTTCCTATCCAAATGAGTTGAAGGTCTAGCGTGCGTACTCTTTGGGTGTTTTTAGAAGTCATTAGGTTTGTTCAGCACACCATCTACTCTTTCATCTCCTGCTCCGCTATACATTTACATACTGTCATCTTCACGATTTATTTCGCTCCGTCTTCGCCCTCACCTCCACCTGCTGCCTCCTCTTCATGTTCATCAGCACCCTTTCCGGCGTGGTCCTTTCCGCCGTGGTCCTTATTTTCGCCACTGTCAAAAAGTTACAAGGAAAAATCACGTATTTGGATTTGTGTTGCTGATCAATAAATCGCTTCATACTTACACTTCCACTTAGTGTAGTAAGGATAACGGCAAACTTAGAATCGATCTAAAAATAGGAATGCGAAAGAGAACGAAGAAGTAGGTCACTACCCGTCGGCGGCTTTTCCTTCCTTCTCTCCGAAACTTGAAATTACTGCTTTATTGTGACCCTTTCCTCTCGAGCTAGCAGATGAAGGAGCCCCCGTCGCAGCCGCTATCACATCTGTGTGTTTTTCGAATTCGATGGATAGGAAGAGGAATATCTATGCTGGTAACTACGATGATTACAACAAGTTTCTTAGTAAAAGATATTGTTATTCTTGGTCGATAGTTGTAGGACGATCACTGTCAACATTATATATAACAATTAGAATAAGTTGTAGTCGAGTTTGAATCCTCATTGCGAAGAATTAGCTGTACCCTGCACTGGGCCTTTTGCTTTTGGTGCGGCACCCGCGAGAAGATCTATCGACCCAATCTGGTCGACTATGTTTGACAAGACACCCATTTTTTCACTTCGTATTCGATGTGTTGATAACAAAGAAATGCTAATTTTTGGTATAATCGTATTCAAAAGGCCTCGAATTTTCTGAAGTTTTGGATGACTTCTGTGTTTTTACTTGCTCTTTTTTTGAAAATCGGTCGATCGGGACGAGTGAACGAGGAGTAGGGTGTCAGAACCGACGTAGCTCGAATTCTCGAACATACGAGACGAATGATATCAAGTACCGATAAAGCCAAGAAGACCGACATCAAGGATAGCCAGATCGACATCTCGAAAACTGAGCAAAAGTCAAGACGCGCGCCGTCTCGGCTTTACTCATTCCTTTGTCTAGTATGCGCTACTACCTGATCTTGATTCTTCAAGCTCACAGTCACAAGCACTAGGACTTATAATCGATTGGTCGACATGGACATTTGCGCAAAATAGCTTGTACAACTTGTAGTCTCGTCAGGCTTATCTGATTCTGTTCAACAAGAATTCATTAGATATAGATTTTCTCTTCTCCTAGAACAACTCCAATTCATCTTGGTCGCAAACCATTCAACTCGCCTTGCAACAGCTCGATTCCCTTATGCAATTCGCTCGCCGCCCTATCAGCTGCTACTTGAGATTAGAGGAAACATGCACACGGTCATATGTGATGTTGGGGTACTAGTTGTACTATGTAAGAGTAAGAGACACTGCGTAATCGATAATGATACTCAAGTAGCAGCATCTATTCTCGTTCATGACGCTGACTCTGAAACGAATCAAAAGTATGAATGGTTCCGGTATTTTTGGTATAGCCTGAGTTTGATCATAAGGGAAAACAAGAAGAGAACCCTTAGGATCAAATTCAGGTAACCAAATACCAGAACCATACATACAGAATATATTAGAATCAACAAGAAGAGTACAAGGAACTACACTTAGGCATCTCCACCCTTAGCCAATCGCTTTCTCAAGCCCAAAAATGACTCCTCGGGAACATAAGAATAGATATGTTGAATGTGTTCCTGCGGTGTCCCTGCGCCAGCTGTGAATGTGGTGTCCTTGAATGAGTCTGCGAAGTCTCTTGCTATCGTCGCATGCTTTAAGGCTTGCTGTAGATCGTCCTTCTTGGAAGCGGTTCCTTGGCCCATCATGGACAAAGGACAACCTCTGGCGGTTCTCCCTGTAGGCGGTTCTCCGTCTTTCGTCCCTTGATTCAGGAAACTGGTGACTACGGTGTCCAGGAACGAGGACACGTGGCGGACGCCGGGAAGCTTGGCGGCGTGGTCTAGGAAAGTAGAAGTAGTGGTAAAAGATGAAGAACTGCTCGTGCTTGTAGTCCTCGGGAAAGAGGAGTTCTTGTGATGGATGATGCTCGGATTATCATGTCTATAGAAGTTGTTATCGTTGTGTCTCGTCCCGAGATGAACGCGCACTGCTCGATGAACCTGTATTCTTGGGCCGTGCGACGAAGTGTCGAGCCGACGGCTCGGTGAGGAAGGGGTAGAAGGACTCATTTTTTTGCTCTGCTACGATCGAAATGGGCGCCGTCAGTGCTAGTACCTGACGATCTTTAATATTGCTTTACTAGTTGTAGTTGTACTACCTATTTGATTAATACTGTGCCTAGTGACATGCTTCGTCGAAAAACTGAAATAAGCGAGCAACTCTTGAAAATAAGCGAGATACTGAACAAGGAAGAGTAGCCCTGTCAAAGCTACTTACCTCCCTTATTTCAGTCAGCAAACCGGTTATTTTCAGATTTCGTGTCAATGTCGAGAACGCATCCAGCATCCCGAATTTGCGTCACAACGAGATTGTAACCTGTCGGCAGTTGAGACTTCCTCGTAACATCGACGATTTCATACGTTTGACGAATCAATCGAGCCAACTACTACATTTCGCGACGACCAAAACGATAAATACAAGAAGGAATCAGATTCGACTGCTCATCTGTCTTGTTATTCTTTTCGACTTCGAAGTCCTATATCATTCCCGGCGGGGACCACGACACAAGTTCGAGTAAGGAGAATACCAGAAAAACTAAGAAAATCGAGCTACTTCAGCAACTGCTTCATCTCTGGAGGCGGTAAAAAGTTTTGAAGATTTCGCGATCACGAATAGTATCTTCTTAACTTGTTTTGATATTGATTGTTGGGTTTTCATGGTTTTTTTTTTATTGATTGTTAGAATTGAAAACATCCTAAAAAGAACTCAGTCGTCCTTCTTTGAGCATATCAGATTATAACGTTTACTTAATTTCATACGACGTACGAAGATTGAGTAGTACTGCTCTCATGACATACAAAAGTAAAACTTTATAAATATACATGAGGAATTCAACAGTCTCATCCACATACTGATATATTAATTACGTACTTGTGCTGACATACTTACAAGAGCATTTCTATCACGTTTTTATTTTCCAAGAAGATCTAAGCTACAAAGTGCAGTGAATGCTTCCGGTATTTTTGGTATAGCCTGAATTTGATCATAAGGGAAAACAAGAAGAGAACCCTTAGGATCCAATTCAGGTTACCAAACACCAGAACCATACATACAGAATATATTCGAATCAACAAGAAGAGTACAAGGAACTACACTTAGGCATCTCCACCGTCAACATCCACTAGAATCTTCGACCCTTAGCCAATCGCTTTCTCAACGACCGCCTCTGTTGAGGTGTTCTGTAGGACACGTGTCCGTGTCGCCTATTTCTAGATGATAGCACTCTGGCAGCTATTTGGCGGTGCGCGCCACGCTTATTGCGGAAAGCATGCCTCTTGGTCCAAGATGGCGATCCTACTACCTCATGATCTACTAGCTGTAGTTGTTTATTGCTGACTAGTGCTGACGGTGCGCCCATCTCCAACATCTGCATTCTACGTCTGAGTCGGCGACTCTGCTTCTGTTTGCGTCGACCATCCTGAAGTTTTTCTGGACTGCCGCGTAGAGTATGAAAGGATAGGAGGAGGTGCGAAGATGCTACACTGTGATGTGCAGCTGTTCTAGGAAATTTTCTTCAAGAGAACAAACTACAACTCCTCTAAGTAGGTAAGTACTTCTACCACTAGTTACCATTGCCAACGTGTTATTTCAGGTACTACAACTATTAGGAACTTCCACCATCACTATTTACAATCAACATTACCAACGTGAACGTCTCATTTCATAATTCTGCAGTAGTTCACACGTGCGCGCTACTTGACACATCGGCGTAGGCCGATCTGCTGGATGCGGGTCAGCGCACTCCTCGTAGCACACTGTAGGTATTCTGGCCATCTCCCGTTTTTCAGCTTGTGCTGCCGATGCAGAGGGGAAGGTGCCGATGGTAATGAAAATGGGGCTCGGAAGATGTGGTGGGGAGTGAGAGGATAGAAAAGATGTTGTGGTCGGGTTTGGGATTGAGGAGTCTGAGCAGGAGGACGAGTTTTACTTTCACTTTTTAAGCAATTTACACGATCACGATGATGTAAATGTATCAAGAACAGTGTGTTCTAGTAGACTATAAATCCAGGAAAGTTTTATCAACTACATTTATTCTTGCCATATTTTCTCTCATGAGTTCCTTCAAATTAGCACCTCCGTTCCTCAATTGCTGCAACCGCTTCAGTAAATGGTCGTCGACATCCATGATCATGTCTTTGACTTTGATCAGACAGTGCGCCAACTCCTCAGGATCGTTGAGCGTGTCCCCATCCGAGTCCGCACCCGTATTGTATCCTAGAAACGACGGTATCTTGCTACACGCTTCAGCATAGTCAAACGCCGTTCCAAACCCTGGTAAGCCCATAGCTAAGTCCTCAACCAAGTTCCGGATTGCTTGGGTTTCGTTCCCACTTGCTTCGGCCGCTAGAACGTTGGACAACAATGTCACATCGAGTCTGACATCCTTGCGCAACCGGTCAATCCTGTGTTCGCATTCATCAGCAGTCTGCCGCAAAAGCGTCAGACTCGCCGTGGACACACCAGGGAGGAGCATCGCTTCGCGGTACTCCTTGCAGGTTGTGGCTGTTGTACTACTAGGAGATTTAGAGGTAGGTTTTTGGTGCTCGCTTACCCCGCTTTTTATGCCTTTCTCCCTTAGGAGAGGCATAAAAAGCGGTAAGAAAAGCACCTTTAACCTACCCTTAAGAGATGTTGTACTACCAGGTGTTGAACCACTAGAAGGAGATGTCAGTGCTTGCATCACATGATCCGGACCACCAGTTAAAGGGTCTTGGAAAATCACACCTGGTGGAAGATACATTGAAGGGGCAGCACCTGCATGATTGGTTGATTCTCCAGGAGAAGAAGTTGTCTCCTGTCCTGCTAACCGTCTAACCAAAGCCAAAGAGCCGTCGCTTTCGTGGAGGTCAGCTCCATCTCCAACAAGTCCGACAATTGTAGATGACAGTTTCCGTCTCAATGTCGCTCTCGCAGCTGCGTTTCCGCTCCTCTCCAGCATTTTCTCCATCATCATGTCCAGTTTCTTCTTCTTTTTCGACAGTTGCTTAGCCTCCCGACACAAAGCCGGCCAGTGCAGCTTCTCTGCACCACTGTTCGTGTACTCTCCATCCAACGTAGTTGGCGCCGAAATGACACTACTATCCGGAGTACCATCGTCGTCTGCGTCCTCGACCATGGAGAGATCCGAAGGACCTAGGGAGTCGCAATCAAACGTATCGTCCACAGGAGGATCAATACAACCGGTGCCCGCTTTGTCCAAAAAGTTGAACAATTGTGCAATCTCGTCTTCGCTGACACTAGCATCAGCGGCGTAGGGGTCACAATTCTCAGAGGGCATGCAGTTTCCCTGTCGCTGGTCCATTAGGCGTTCGCCTGCGTTGAGGGCACGGTGGACTTCACTGTCTTAGAGCTCACCCTAATCCATCGCGGGATTCATCTTGGACCTATTCCCCCCTTACGAGCCAGGTCTAAGATGCTTCAGAAGATGGATTAGGGTAAGCCTTAACTGTCGGTGAGGAGGGTCTGTAGTGGTCGTTGGGGGTGTCCGTTTGCCATTTTTGTGGAGATGAGTTCACGTTATATATAATAATCGAGATCAAAAATTCGAGATCAAAAGAATGCAATTGAAAGTCGAAGAAGTATGAGAATTATGAGTAACCACCAGCAATCCCGAGTCGCTCAAATGTAAGGAAAGGGACTGAGAACACTACTCTACTAATCCACCAACGCTCAAAGTATAAGTGAAGGAATTAAATTTATAATACCTTCCCCCCACCTCCCGCCAGGAGGATATCTTCGATACCTTGCTTATACACTGCACCAGCCTGTGCGTTATTTGCACTTCCTTCCGCGATTAAGTCAAAGATTTCGCGTTTGAAACTATGGAAGTCCACTTGATGAGGCATGCATCCAGTCTGTATGAAGTAGCAATCAGCGGTGAGAGGATGTCCGAGTGGCAGTGGTGTCAGTTGCCCAATCGCATTCACTTCAGAGGGGATGGTAGTGTCTTCTGGAGCGAGGGCTCTGCTGGTGGACTTGCTATTTTGCTCCCTCAGCTGCCGCCTCCGCCTCCTCTGCCGTCGCAACCGACTTCTTCGACTCCCAATCAGCGGAGCATCGACCTCAAATACTGCATTGGGGTCTTCTAAGTGACAGGAGACGGGAGGACCGTTACTACTAGCAGAGGATCCTCCAGAAGCTGCAGACAACGTAGATCCAAGAACCTTTGGAGGCTTGTCAAAACAGCTTTTTTCGACACAGCCGGTAGGATCTGCGGCACATCCTTCCGTCAATGCGTCCCATTCGGCGAGTAAGAGGCTTTCATCTTGGTTGCTGGTTGCGGAGGAGACGGAGCATTAGAAGAGGAGGAAGATGCATCTTCAGGTTCAACTCCAAAGAAGAAGAACTTGAATCTAGTATATCTAAATGCGCAATGGGATTGACGAGTATGAGAATGAGATTGAGACTTTGTATCAGTATCTCCTCTTCCAACATAATAATCCTCCACACAAACGGCCAGCTCCTTCTTGATCCCCCTCTCTGGCAAATTCAGCAATTCCGTCACGCATTTTGCTACACCCTTTTCCTCTGCCACTGTCAGCCTATCTGGATGTGCTGCTCCGGTCCCTGGCATCTGCGCTCCTCTCGTCGTATCCGGTAAGTACGAGATCGAGTAGTAGCTACTCGCTGTGCTTGTCGCGTACACCGTCGTATTGCGAGCGTCGTGCTCTAATGTGCGCAGCATCCCCGCTGCACGATTCAGGGCACTGGACGCAGCGTCGCAGATTTCGACTGTGGCGTTCAGCAGTAGGTATTCATCCATCTGCGAATGCTGCACTGTTGCGCCAGTCGAACTCGAAGTCGAAGACGCAGTACCAGCTAAGTAATTCACCCCCACTCCCGTGTCGACACCGTTCAAAGTTCTTTCCAGTTTCGTATGCTGAGCTAATTAGAGGTAGGGGCTTGGTGCTCGTGGACCCCGCTCTGTCTGCCTTTCTCCCTTAGGAGAGGCATAAAAAGCGGGAACAAAAGCACCTTTACCCTACCCTTAAGCTAAAAGCACTGGTTTCAAATCAGATATCATCTCCACAAAAGCGTCCACCTCTTCCAAATGCAAACCTTGCTCTGAGAGGCTCACCGGTTCACTGTTCTGGATCAATTGCAAGATGTCTGCACCGTTGACCTTGTCACTCTCTAGAGTCGATTCCGCTAACCGACGCCGTCGTCTGGAGCTGTACAAATCGTCCTCGAATAAGGCTGAAATCTGTTTTAGAGCTGTCCGTAATTCATCTTTCGAGGATACGTCCAAAGATGTATTAGGTACAGCCTTAACTGTTCTCGGGCTTTCAGCATGCCCTCACGTTGCCTTCTGCCGAGAGTTGACTCTTCCTGCACGTTTTCCGACTCTGCAATGGAGACGGCGTTCCCGATGCCGGGGAGAGTTAGAAAAAAACAAAAAGATATTATAATCAAAAAAAAAAACTCACATCCAGATCCACACGACAGCCATCATGTAACAACCACTAGCACCACCACCCATAACAGCAAGTTCGCTTCATTCCCTCCCGAAGCAGGTGGTGGACAGCCGTTCTTCGCCTGCGCCACCGCGTCTGCCGGCGACGGTGTCTCGAGATCCCGTACTGCCACTTTCCCAGGTACACGAGTTTTCAATAGGCAAAAATCCATAGCGTCTTCCGCAGTCATCCCTCGTTTCACAAGACCGAAATACACCGCGCATTGAGGCACGGTCACAAAACCTTCCCGATCGGGTTGCAGCCAGAGTTCGGAGATGGCGCCACCTCTTGGAGTTGCGAGACTGTGGAGGTCCTCAGCCGTTAAGCGGTTCATCTCGATTGATGAGCCACATTTATTCCCCACATTACCCAGGATATTCTTAGCCATCAAACAGTAATCAGCATCTGTAGGTTCCTCGGATTCCTCACATTGTTTGCGGAAGTCGGAGATTTGCGCAAGATCGAAGGTCTCAGCGTTGGCGGCGAGGTTGGGGGGATGAAAGGGGACAGGGAAACGTGTTGCGAGTCCTCAAATCTGTAAAAAAAAGACCTAACCAAAAACGACGAAGGAAAGGATGATGATTTACTACCGTCAATTTTAGGTGAGTAGAAAACAAATAAAACTTGAAACTTGAATTTCTCAAGAAATGCCACTCCATACCCTTCTTTCCTTAATCCCGCCGTCTCCATGTAAACCGTCTCCGCAAACTCTGAAACGAAAAAGTTTACTCATCCTCAAGAAAGTAGGCACTTTCTAAATAGGAAAGAACCTCTTTTCTTGAGTATGAGTACACTTTTTTCTGTCATACAAACGTAGGCCTTGTGATTTCAGCTGGCAGCAAATGACAGCGCATTTTACCGCTCAAACACGCTTGCTCTGCCTCATACAAGTCTACTGGAAATTGTCGGATCGTCATTTCCCTAGTCATCTTCTGCAGCATTTTGAGAGGTACGCATGGTCTCGTTACCAGCTCCTCGAAGAGATCAGCTGCTATAGGGGACAGTTTTGAGAAATCCACGAAAGCGGTTTCCGGATCAATAGCTAGTGCTAAAGCTTGTGCATGCAGATTGATGTCGTGCTGAGTCAACTCCGCAACATTGGCCTTCATGGTCAATTTCTCAAGGATCTGACCTTGTATGTCAGTGAAATCCGGACAAGGCGGCGCGACATCGGTCGGGTATTGGATGCTGTCTTGAGAAGTGGCGTTGAGGAGATCAGGGATGTAGTCTTCCACGTTGGCACTACCACCAGGTCCACGACTACTCTTTTTATCGCGCAGTAGACCAGCTGCGGGTAATCGCACGAAATAGCTCACCCCATTCATCGTTCCACCAATGCAGCTGTCACCATCAACAATGGGGTCACAAGGACATAATTCACCGTACTCATCACCACACAATTGAGTGGCGTTCGGATGATCGTTGAAAGGTGGAATCAGTGTTAGACTGTCGTTTCCCGCAGTGCGGAGAGACACTGAGGGGTGGATGTACGCAGATGTTGTAGATTGCAATTGTCTACTTCGCCTCTCCTCTAGCATGCCACCAGCAACAAATTTCCGTTCCCGGGACATCAAACGGCGTACGTTTCTGCGATCTAAACGGCGTTGGAAAGCGTCACGGTGCAAGGCATCACGCTGAGGCGAGTCGAGGTAGAGCTTTCTGCGTCTGGTGTGTTGACTGCTTGAGGTGGCGCCGGTGGAGGTCGGCCTTAGAGGGGATGAAGTCATCACATGCACATTCAACTCAAACAACGGATGATGATGAACGATGAAAAGGAAAAGCTAGTAACTATCAAAATCAAATTGAGATAGAGAAGATTATCTGAAGCTTCTGTACTGGCAGCGCCGCCATCTTAGTTGTTACTATTGTATGTTACTCATACGCAGCTTTTCTAGTCAGAGCATCACCCATAACGTTGCTGCCACCAAGTAGTCAGGCGCAGCTGAAAAATCCAATCCTCCCTTCGAAATCCAGGCATCCACGATTGCTTTGTGGCACATCTGCTTGTGCTGCATGCACGGACAGTTGTGGTAGCGATCTACGGTGCAATTGAAGGTGAATGTTGGAGCTGACACTGGAGAGCTTGGATCTTTATGCACACAGTTACACTCCATCAGACATCCGATGCCCATTTCATGTGCTCGCACGTTTGCATGCAAATCTGGGATGCTCATGTTGAAGAACAAAGGATGTTGAGTAGTGTAGCCACTAGGAGATGTATTCGGGGCTCCTCCAGATGTTGATGTCCGAGTGCTCATCATTCCTGGTTCATCTAGTGGCATGATTTTCTCATCTCTCGGCAGCAGTTTGCACGGCTTTGGCGCTTTTTCTCCGTCGTTTATCAGGTTCTGCGTGAAAGCAGCGAAAGTAATCGGTGTCTCTTCTGGTGTTTTTACGAAGTTGCCTTCAGCGTCCATCTGAAAATTCTCTGGGTTCAAAGCAGCAGCCAAAGGGTTCTGGAATGCACTTTCATCAGCTGCCGCATTCGTTGGGAAATCAATGGGTAAATGCGAAGTTGACACTGCATGTAGGCGCTTACGTTGTCTTGATACAGGCGCAGTGCAATACTCCGTATCACCTACCTCTAGTCTGGCCATAGCATCTGGATCCCGCTTCAAAGTGATCTCCGATGTCGGAGACAGTAACCGCATCACCTGACACGCGGTCAAGACGCATTGATCGTCTGTGGCGCCAGTTTCGAAGGGATTCGCCATCGCACTAGTTGCAGACGAAGTACTGAATGGTTCCGGTATTTGGTACTTAGCCTGAATTTGATCACTCACAAGGGTTCTCTTTCTTGTTTTCCCTTGTGATCAAAAAATTCAGGTTACCAAATAGCGGAAGCATACAAGTACTAAGTTGTCTAGAAGCAGTACTTCTAGTCGTAGATGAAATCACCTCGTTCATTATTTCGTCCATCTCCTCAATTTGCAATGCTCGCAATCTTCCTACCATGCACAGCATTTTCTTCGGTGCTAGGTAAAGCATTTCAGCTCTGGCGGTGGCACAAGCTTGCTTCACCTGTCGAGGAGTGAGCTTTGCTACCTCCGCTAACCGCGCGATCTCACTGCCAGCTAAGACTTGACTAGTCCCATCTTGGGGACAGGCAGCGAGACGGCGAAGGACAAGTTAGAGCCGTCCGTAATTCATCTTTCAAGTGCATCCTTGAAAAGTACTTATGGGAGAGCGTTACTCCCTTAGGATAGATACTCCTCCATACGTTTCAAGGATGCGTCCAAAGATGTATTAGGTATAGCCTTAAACAAGGTCGTTGCCTTCATCGTGGGAGAGTTGGCGCCGTGTTGTACGTGATGATGCAGATGATGTGCTGCTTGACTTAGATGTTGAGGGTGAGGAAAAAGAAGCTTCCTCGTCCACGCCGTTTTCCATCTCCTCATTCTCTTCATAAACCGTCAACTCCCTTCTTCGAGCTCGCATCAACAACCGCAGCTGCATTTGCGCTGTGGTTTGCAGAGGAGACGGCGTCTGGGCCAAAGTTTCGCCATCAGTGTTGACCTGCATGAAAACAGAACAGACTGCGCCACCGCACTGTTGGTCGATAACGGCTTGCGTTAGAGCTCGTCTGTATTCATCTTGATGCGCATCTATGCCCTCTTTTTTCATTCAAAAAAAAGACCAAAGTAGATGCAGACGCTTCTTAAGATGAATTACTGTGAGCCCCCTTAGTTGTGCTGTGTCGGAAACCGCTGTGGCTTGGATCTTTTGCGCTGCCATCTCTACGTTCCTCGCGAAGCACTGAATCATCTCAACTTCGTGCTCAGTCGGTCCAGATGGAGGATTGGAGACGAACAAGCGCCTACTCTTCTTTTGTATGTGTAGGTGCTCAACATTGTGATCAACATCAACATCATGATTCTGAGTCTGATCACTGTTTCCATTTCTCCCGATCTCCTTCGCCACAACGACCCCAATTAATGGCCTTACTCCCATCTCATCCGGTTCGTCAGCGAGGACTCTGCGATAGTTGTGGCACGTTACTGCTTCTACGATCGTCTTAAGGTCCTCTTTGATTCTGGCGAACTCATCTCGGTCAGCAGATTGAAAAGTTTCGTCAAAATTCCGCAAATCTGCGTCGGACAAACTCGAGAAATAAGCCAGAGATTTGAATTGCTGTAGTTCCTCTGCTTCACCTACGGGACCTGGAGCTGTGCCAGGGTTGTGTGCGAGACCACCGCCAAGAGTTTCTTGTTCCGCTGCTGGACTTAGAAGAAATAGAAGAAGAAAGAGCCTAGTAGAAGTTACGATGCTGCTTGGAAGAGTTGGACTTGGAGAGTAAGACCTCTTGGAGAGTAAGACCTTGGAGAGTAAGACCTCTTGGAGAGTAAGACCTTGGAGAGTAAGACCTCTTGGAGAGTAAGACCTTGGAGAGTAAGACCTTGGAGACTAAGACGAGCACTGTATCTGTAACTATTTCTGCAACTACTCAAACTCATTTCACTCCTTGCGAAGGAATCTAAGAGTCCACCTAAAAAGTAGTCCTAGTGCTAGTCGAAGATCTCTCTCATCATAATGTCAACGAAGTCAGCTGTCGTCTTTGTCGTCTTCTGCGATCAATACCGCTTTGAATACCTTCCAATTGGCGACGATGCTCTGCATGTTCGCCTTCAGATTTTAGGCGGCGTCGTTCGAGCCAACGGTCGTAGGGAGCTGGAAGAAGTGAAAAGTGTTTCTAATAGAAATGTAGCTGCAGTTGGTAGCAGGTCATCAAAAGTTTTCTCGTCAAATTAAACAAGCAGGAGGAGCAAAACCGATCTTATTCTGTTACCTCCCGCTCCCTTCTCCCTTAGCATCCTAATCCTCAGTCCTTTCTCGATTTCAAAATTCTTTTTTTCCTGCAACCTGCGTCTTGGCTTGTGCACCATCGCTTCCATGAGCATTCGTCCACCACAACTCTGTTCCTCATGCGCCAAAGCCACCTGTGCATCTGGCAGACTTGCTTCAGTTCGTGTCAATTTCCCATCTTGGTCTAAATCTCGATAGAGAAACATGCATTCTGCTAATTCGCCATCAGGTGCGGTTTTCTGAACCATTTGCGCATATTCCTCCTTCCTCGCTGCACCGTCTGAAGAACCAAAACTGTCGACAATCTGCCGGAATTGCTCTGCTTTCTGACGGCCTTGTAGATCCATTGCTTCCTCAGGCGTTACTTTGCCATCTCCATTCGAATCTAGACGACTAAAGAGAGTTTCGCGCATTCTTCTACTCACATCAGCCCCAGGAGGAAACTGGAGGTCCTCTGCACGCGTTGCGGCTTTGTTCAGGTTCACAGGAAGTAAGCCACCCCCTTGCAGAGTCTCGGAGCTCTTCCCGCTGCCGCTTGGTTTCGGGGGATGAAAGGGAGAAAATGATATCTTCTACGCAATTCAACATGTATTGGAATCGAAACGATCCTGTAAGTACACACAAAAAAGGCAGTCGAAGTCAAGTTTGAATATTAGGACGAGAAACTGAAACGCTTGTATGTTGTTAGTGTAGAAACTGTTGTATCTTCATATTCTGGCGCCGTCGCTGAATCGCCCATATTTTCAGCTGTAGGCAAACCTTTCTGCACCACACATGCAATCTCTTTTTCGGAAAAGCTGCCATCGGCATCTTCATCACACGGGGCTATCTTCTTCGCCACAGCACGACGTGAAGTCGCAGACATCAACACTGGCGCAAAAACGTTAAAATCGGCTAGTTGATCCAGCAGAAGGTTCTGCGGTACGGACTTACAGAGTTTGGGACTGTTCTCGCACATGCGAAGGGTGTCTCGGATGCGTTCGTGGTCGGCCAAAGTGTGGTTGGAGAGCATGCGGAGGATGGGGCTCCTGTTAGTTTTCTGAAGGTCGACGTTTGGTCGCACGTGAAATTGAAAATAGAAAGAACAGTAAGCCTGTCTATAATTGTGGTGGAGCCGACCTAACTAGAAAAAAAACAGACCAGAGGAAGATATAAAAGAGAAAAGGGTAACTATCAACAGCATTATCAAGTGTCAAAAACAGGAAAATGAAAATCAGATTATATTAGTCAATAAGTTCAGATAAGTCACGTGCACGTCTGCATCAAAATGAGTAAGAATACCCACTCGACGTCCCAGCTCGTCGCATTCTCGGTGACAACGACCGCAGTACTGCCTCAACTCCCTCAGTTCGCGCATCAACTACGTCTTTATGATCCATCGTCTGCAAAGCTCTACTACTTTGCGAGACATCTCCCTCTGCCAGCATATGCGCCAACTCCACATGCCAGTTGATGATTTCGTCATTTTGTGATGCGGCAGACAAGCGACGTCTAGTGTTGCTGGTAGTGGATGAAGATTCACCTCCTACTTCACCATCAGAAGCTAGCTCCATCAATGCCCTTCTCTCTCTCCTCCTTCGTCTCCGTCTATCCGCCATCGTCTTCACCATTGGGTGCGTTCCTTGGACCAGCATCTGTTCTATAAGTCGCCCACCACAGATGCCATGTTGGTCCAGCTCCAAAGCGTCGACTCTGCCATTGCCATCGCAATCTAGAGAGTCGAAAAACCGGGTATCGCCTTCTGCTTGGGGTCTCCCTTGAAGTTCCTGAAACGCGTTGAATTCGCCGACTCCGCAACCCTCAGTCATATTACACGAGAACGGTACAGTGGCAGGCGTTGTGTCGGTGGAAGCAGGTGGGTCGGCGGTGCCAGCTGGGGGATTCGAGAGAGGTGATCACTTGTCAAGGTAGTAAAGCTTGTAGCTATACACGAGCATCATGTAGTTCTCGTTGTATTTGTATTCGTCGTACAACTAGTACAAACATCATGTGTTTGTATTTGTATTCGTCATACAAACAAGGTTCTTGAAATGGAATTTCTATTTCTCTACCATCTTTGTCGTGGTCCTCTTGAAACCATAATCACCATGATCTTCGGTACACAAGGAACGCCGCATTTTCCCAATCCAGCTGGGCAACTAGGATTGGCCAAGTTCCTGTCATTGTCGATCACCTCTGAGGTGGCTCCGTCACCACCGATCTGCGCTCGTTCTCTTAGCCCATTCGGATGCTTGATAAACAGGTGGTCCTCGATGGTGTCGGCTGGGGTTTAGGGATTAGAAGGAGGATTGGATGCTTGATAAACGGATGGTCCTCGTCGGCTGGGGTGGAGGGATTAGAAGGACTTATCAAACCCGAACCCTCACACTCATACTCAGAAAGTCTGAAACTCTGCGAGCAATTTGCGCACAGTAGGTACACAGACAAGGGGCGAGCCTGAAGTGGGTGGGAACGACTGTGGTGGGAACAGTACACAGACAAAAGACTGGGTGGGAAGAACTGTGGGAAGGACTGATGCTTGAGAAACAGGTGGTCCTCGATGATAGATGCTGGGGCTCGATGTCGGCTGAACCTTGAGAAACAGGTGGTCCTCGATGAATCCTTAGAATGCGAGAAGCACAGTGAAAATTACGACGTCTCTCTGTCTAAATATTCTTCAACAAAAATCATAACACCCCCATCATCGCCGCTCGGCACTCCTGGCACTTTCTTCCGTACCCACTCTAAAACCGTAGGTCGCTTACCTCCACTCTGCCCAGTAGGTCCTGGCTTGGCATCCACTGAAAGACACTTCACCATGTAGCCTTTTTCTACGCTCTCTTTCTTCTCGCAGTCCTGAAAGTGCATGAAAGACGCGCACCCACTAGAGAGAGGAAAACTTCCGGACTTCAGGTTCCCAAGCATGGTTGCAGGCAGCGAAAAGACGTAGTTGAACATTTCACGTCCGCCGAGTTTGGTGATGGTGTTAGAGGATGCCCTTAAGCCTGGTCTAAGTCGTGAGGAGAACCACAGTGCTCTTTTTCGCCAAAAAACCGTAAATAACGAGTGTTGAGAACAAAGGTGCACCTGCGAAATATTATTTAAGAGTCTTTTACTTTATTTTGCTCCTTGCTCACAAACATCATGAACATCAACATCAAGTCACAAGATCTTCTACTCTATCCAAATGAGTCTCTTTCAAATTCAGTTATCCATTGCCGTAATCTGCGCACTAGCAGCTGCGACACGCAAACCTTCGCTCGTAGTCATCATGCCATGTTGTATCAAGCCGCACTCCTGATCCCCATCAGCATTTTCAGAGCATTTTCCTTCCGAGGCTGGGATCGGTGGTGGTGCGCGGTCGTGAGCCATGCTAGTGGAAAGCTGGATTTTGGAGGAATTGGGAGTTGAGGAGGGTGGCTGCAATTGACTCAGACATCAATGAAATTGTCAAGACGATTTCAAAAAATTGAAATGTATTTGATGTAGTTGTTGAGTTCAAATATATGCTCATAAGAAAAACCTACTAGGCCTTCACTTTGTTCTTCCAACAGTTTATCTTACCATTCTTGCCGTTGCCCCAGCACTAACTTCCGTCATCCTTCTCCCACTTGCGTCCTTGTCTCTTGGCCGCATATCCTTGCTTGCCTCATTCGCTACTATGGTCATAGCGAAATTAAGAGCTGCGAGAGCAAGAATGAGTATCAAGGACCCAAACAAGAACCTTCGAATCAACCGGTTGCTGTCTTGCATGCGCCCTTGAGCCTTTGCAGCAGTAAGAAGCTCCGCCATGGAAACTGAGGTGGTGGTAAGGATGAAAGCGTAGTAAATCAAAGTTTGTTTTTTGAGACTTGTTGAGATGAAAGAGCTAGAGCTGCGAGTAGGAGTACAAACCACGTAAGAAGTATCATATCACACGTACCACTTCCACTTCCATCCTTGTCCCAGCCCTTCAGGACGTCTTGGACCTTAGGCGGAAACCGTGTATAATCCAGAGCGTCGCTATTGTTCTTCTTGGATTCTTCAGTATGAAGGGAGAAGGATAAGGGGAGAAGGATGAAGAAGTAGAAGAATAGGTTGAGGGAAAGGAGGAGGTCGTGAAAGAAGGATGTCGTGTGGAGGAAAGACGAAGATGCTTCTACTTTACAAAACTCTCTTTTTGCTTTTTTTTTCAAGTTGAATTTCACATGCCGCCCTTCCTCATTCGTTCATCGGAGGAATATGAATACATTTCTCAAAAATACTAGCACTAGTACAACTTGTACTAGAGGCTCCCACTCCATTCATAATTCTCCCCAGCCATGTAGGTTAACATCTCTTCCAATTCGTGCCGCTCTAGGCCATCCCCATCGACATCCAACCTCTTCAGGCCTTCTCTTAGACCTTGAGTGCATCCATCTGATCTCCACCAGCGTCTTGGTCCCGAGTTTCATCCCTTTAGAATAAACGGGGCCAAGATCGATGTTCTTCGGGAGGAAGATGGATCTTCTCAAGCCTTAACTCTCGTAGCCATTCTGGTATGTTCAGATTTTCGATATCGACAATCTCCACATCTTCCTCCTCCTCCACAGCTAGTTGACCAGGAGGCTGCCCTCCTTCGGGAGCGACTTTGCCGGCAGCGGGTTTCATGGTCGTCATTTTGTGGAGCGAAATCGACCGTAAGTGATGAAACTACGGTCTACGACTGGGTAATCGACCGTAAGTCCTGGATCACGCAATCCTGGCAGGTTGTCGAAGTAGTTGTAACGTCATTTTTTTCCCAGGAGCGGCATAGTAGCTCCCGGTACAGCACCACCAGGCGGAGAACGCAAACACAAATTCGTGTCCATGCAGAAGATGATTTTGATTAGTATTTGGTTCTTTACTCATCAAAAGTATATGTTTATTGGATCAAAGTTAGTACTCAAAAGAAATAGAACCGACCATGAAGAACTACTCCTGCCTCAAGTAAAACTTCGAAGTCTAGTACTCTTTCTTTTTCCCGGGGTTTCCTAGTTTCTGAATCATGTATCTATATTACTCTCTGCTCCATCTCTCTTTCTCTCTCTCCCTCACAGAAATTAATACTCTCGAGCAGCGGCAGCGCGTCCTGATGTCGCAAAACTGAATTTTTCCAAGGACTTCGTCCTCTTCGAAATTCAAATCATTCTTGTCGGCAAAAATGATGAAGAACTTCAACTTGTTTTACTGTTTCGTATTATGTGTTGTATCTCTGTATTCTCTAACAAGCATAATTGATCATATTCAACATTGTTCTTTTTGTTCTTGTATGCCTACAACTACAACTGCTAAAAATTCTGCGAAGTAGTTAGATAGCCAGGACCTCACGAGGAGGCAGCTTGCACCTCAGCAGCTCCCGCAGATGCAGACGCGCCGCACTTGAAGCAGCTTCTTCGTTCGCTGAAGTTGCGAAACCCACAGCTAGTACAGGTCCAACTGCCGTCCTCCACAAGTCGTTGAGCTACCTTGTCAGGTGAGCTCGTCAAGTCTTTTTAGAAGTAGTGCCGACAAGAACGGATCTTGGTTCCAGAAGAACATGTTTCAGTCGTAGTCGAAGGGATCTTGTTTCAGTAGTCGTTCTTGAAGTCGTTTTTACATCGTGTTTTCAAGTTCTTCATGAAAACGTGCTCTTCAAGTGTGTGGAAAAGGACCAAAACAAGATGCTGGGTTCTACTTCACGTTAAAAATATCCTTGTTTATGTTTTTAACCGTAATCATTATTAAACATGCGAGTGGTAAGAGCATCTTTGACGTTGAAGAGGTATTGGTTAGCCTCCACGTCCTTCTGTATCCATTTTTGAATTGGTGGAAGCCAAGCGTACTTCGTCCAACCAGGTTTAAGCTCGCCTTGATGCGCGATAACATTGCCCTTCTTGCGCCGGTGGATGAAGGTGCCGAAAGGAGGTAGGGGAACAAGGTGGAATTCTGTGATAGTTGTAGGGCGAATATTTATTATGGAACAAACTCACTTGTCAAAGTCAGTGTCTTTGAAGATGAGGAAACTTGTCCTCGAGGTCAATGAATTATTGTTAAGTACTTACGGTCTAAGTAACTAAAAAGTACTTCTCACGATTCGATCGGGGTGGAACAAAAACTTTTAATATCCTCAACTACCTATTACACAGATTCTTGAATAGCGTAGAGTTTCTTGAATAGCGTCTAGACATTCGTTCATGTTTAACTTTAAGATATCGATATGTCCGTATGATCATAAATTGCAACATTTGTCTCCTTTTCAATTTCGCCGCTTTCACTTTCGCAATGTAGGATTCGCGGATTGGATCAAACCATCGATCAGGCCAGTGCATCCAGTGATCTCCAGGCGCCGTTAACAGCGCATATCTCTTTAGCGTGTGCTAGAATTCATCTCGCCTCTTTCTTGTTCTTGAGTTCTTGATTACCCTTGTTGTTGTACTTGTTCCTGGTAATTATACAACCCCCGCCCCATCTTGATGCCTCTACCCTTGTTGTACTTCATGGGATGAATACAGGAGCAGGAGGCAGAAACCTTTACCCTTGTACTAAATTGATGAAATTTGGGTGTAAAGATAGGAGCCAAGATACAGCCTAAAAGGGTGCCAAGATGCTGAGTGAGATGAAGAAAAGCCGGCCATAATCTCTGACCAGTCGCATTTGCCATGGTCTTCCTGGAATACATGCCTTCCAAAGCGCGTCTAATAGCCCTCACGCGTGTGAACCACTGTGATCCTCTGAAGCCGATTTTGCAGTTGTCGAGGCCAAGGGAGTGATGAAAGAGGAAGTCTGTAAGTGGGATGTTGCTGGGTGAACGAGGGATGTGGATGATAATCGTTCATCATAGATGAATCAACTTCAACCCGAAGCCGAAGTGGATGTAGAAGATAGTTTTGTATTTGTTCTCCAGTCGCAATAATGCTGTTAGAACATGTAGAAGCAGATCAAGGCCCTCCTCTTTACAATCTTAATACAATCGTTTCAAACGCCAGACGAGCACCAGGATGATTCTATTAATCTCCTTCTATAGCTGCTAGTATGATTCATTTGCCATTTCAACATAAAGATACATCAATGGCAAGAACTTTTTATTGCACTGCAAGCCACGGCCAATAGCGCGAGGATGAATGGTACACCACTGACCGTACTCACGGCCACGCACAGGAGTGGTCAAGACCCTTCCTTCATCCAAGTCGATGTGATCTAAACGCTGGAGTGCCTGTGTGAACTTTGTGTGGTGAAGCTGATGTACTAGTTCTGAATATGTGTGGTGAAGCTGTTGTAGAAGGTTCTGACATGATTCGAGTTCGACGAAGTTCAAGTTTTTAGCTGAGATTTTCTTACTGGGATCATCCTAGGCCTAGGGATGCTAATTTACTGAAATAGAGATGCTACCCGGAGTAGAAGTAAGTAAGTACCTTGCTCACTCCTTCTTCACTATCAATGCTTAACAAAAGAAGTACTTAGATTAGTACCTTGCTCACTCCTTCTTCACTATCAATGCTCCACAAAAGAAGTACTTAGATTAGTACCTTGCTCACTCCTTCTTTCTTCGCGGACGATATGTCCATACCAAATCCCACACCAAATCCATAAATCCCACGCCCATTGCCGACCAGCATCAAAGATCGCCAATAAAACACCCTCCCCGCCCCCGTCATCGAGGCCATGCGGGATAATTGCACTTGCACTTGCCGAAACGAACTAAGTTTCAGGAGAGGGTCGGAGCCGGTGATTAGAAAGTAGAAATAGGGGCGGAGGTCCTCGATTTAGATGAAAGAGGAAGAGCATCAAAGGAAAAAGTTGACAGGAGGATCGGAGCCATGGTGATAGTGATCATCTATTCTCTTCATTAACATCACTTGTTTACGCTATTTTCACTTAGACTTAGTACTGACCACACTCACTGATTCTCAGTCCTCATAACTTCTGTTGTTTCACGTAGGTCTGCCTTTGCGGATTGTAGATTACGTTTTCAGGCACTTTCCATTTGAACTCGCCATCTTCTGGCGACCATTCTAAAGGACCTGCATTCTTTTGAAATTCCATCTCAGCTTCGATCACTTCTCTAACTGTAGCAGCGTGTCGAGATGAATTGCTAGAAAGACTGGGGTCGTTAAGGTTGTTGTTGTTGTTGTTTGCGGGGTTGTAGGCTGCTGATTCTTGATTACCTTGTCCTCCGAGTCCAGCTCCTACACCTTGACCTTGTTCCCCTGAAGACGAGGAACCTAGTCCACCTACTTGTCCAAGTACACAGCTTTGTAGCATTTGAGATACGACGTTGTCAGGTACCAGAGGAGGCATCGCGGATGCGTCTTGTGCTAGCTCTTGTTCATACGTGAGTGTTGGAATATCGTGAAGCAATTTGTAAGGGTCACAGGCCTCAAACTCCAGTAAGTTCGTCTTTCCTCTACTAGCGCAACGAAGCATAAAGTTCGCAGACGTGATAGCAGACTGAAGACTGGGAGATATGATTCTCCTGTTGTTTCTTGTTTTTCTTCCACCCCCAGAGAGTAGTTTAGAAGTATTGAAACCCCACGCAGCGGTATCGGCCCCCCCGTGAGAAGGCTCAGAACCTTGGTTCTCTTCCATCAACGCATCTACTATGTTTTTTGAGGTAGTCTTTTCGTGACCACGAGGAAACTTCGCCTCCAATTCCGCAGACATGTTTTCGCTTTTTAGCCAGGTCCTGAGACCAATTTTCTCCAAAGCGTAGAGAAAATGCTGAAAGTGCTCTCCTTGGAAGTTGAAGTCTGTCTCTGTGATGGTAGTTGAAGTCTCTCCTTGAGGCTTTTGTCCAGAGGTGGCGCTGGCAGAACTAGAAGTAGAAAAATCTTTGGTGGAGGAGGTAGAGGGATCAGTAGAAGTTGCATCGTTCTCCGTCTCAGCAGTGCTACTGGAACTCTCACCGGCTTTATGAAGAGGAGATGACTCTTCGACGTCCTCCTTTATCCCCTTCATGCTGCTTGTTTCAGCTTCGTTTTGTGTCGACGTGGTAGATGGATTTTCTGTTGTAGAAGTTTTTGTTTTTGGTTGTTCCTTTGATGTTCCTGCAGCATCGCTTGGGGCCTTTTGCTTTTCCCCATCCGCAGTACTAGCTGCTGTATTAACAGGAGACTTTTCTACTTCGCTTTCAGCAGGAGATTTCGAAGATCCTTGCATCTCACCCTCGTCACTCCCGACAGCATCCATGCCCTCTTCACTCACGACAGCATCCGCTTCGAAATCATCAACTTCACCTTTTCCACCAATCTCCTCTATTTCTCCTTCATCTTGTTCACCTAAAGAACCATGGCCCTTACTATGGGTACCGGTAGTATCCCCTCCGAACACCAAATCCAGCAGTTGCGCCATCTGCGGGCCCATCTTCTCTAAAGGAAAATCCATATTCCTTTCGTCCACGACCTCACTAGGTAGTGGAGAGTTGTCGTAGAGAAAGTCCTCAGCCAAAGAGTACCAAGCTGACGTGGCAGAACTGCTGTTGCTATTAAAGGCAGGCTTATTTTGGTGTTCGTTTGTCCCGCTTGTTAATATGGCTGTCCCCACCTCCTAAGGGAGAGAGCCATAACAAACGGTAACAAAAGCTTAACCTTTAACCTACCCTTAATGTTATCATGCTGCCAAATGCGTCCACGATTTTCTTCACGATTTGCAATCACCCGCTCAATGTGGCCTCGGAGAAAGGCGAGGTATGAAAGGAGGTGGTAGGCTTCAAATGGAGTGGTAGGATGGAAGGGTCTTCCACGCACACGATTCAGTGCGGAAGGATAAAGAAAAGATAGAACAGATCTCAACAGAGTTGAGCTCAATTTTCCAATTCCATCAGCATCCATTGTATCCTGCTGTCATTATACTGCTCTTCGCTATCGCTAATTGACTATCATTCCCAGGAAAATCTCATAAAGCCAAGTCGCTTTTCGACAAATCAAGCGCCGTGCCTTTGCCTATGAGGAACTTAAGCGATCTGTCCCAATTCAACTCTAGGAAATCCTCAACCGCTCCTGCGTCTTTCGGAAGCTGGTAGAAGTGCATGATCTTGAAAGCGAGCTTTGAGGATTAGAGAATGTGATGTGGATGATGACGAGGTGGAAGACGTTGTTGTCTATTCTTGAGAGTAGAAGCATGGGCTGTGATAGAAGGAAGATGACGAATTATACCAATAATGTTCATGATGCCTATCGATAATTTTCATAACTAGTATGTCATCAAGGTTAAGGTTTGTGAATGTAAATATTATGCTTTATTGAATGATGATAGCAGAAATTTCCATCATAACGAAATCTTTCCGGATCTCCTCGCAAAGACAGCAACTCGCTAATCTCAACATCCCAAAAGTTTTGTTTTATAGACACTGCTTCCTCTTCCTCTAGGTTTGCTGCTGCAACCTTCGGGTCTAGGGTGGCGAAAGGGTCGTCAGTTGTACTAGATGAACTTAATGCTTTCGTTTCACGATCACGCTCTGCAGTTCCATCCTCTACACTTTCGCCTTCGGTATCTGGAGTACTTTTTTCCCCTTCTCCTTCAATACTACCCGGATCCAACCTCTCTCCATCGTAACCCAACAGCACCCTAGCGTAAAAAAGCTCCATGTCATCAGCCAGGGACTCAGTTATTGCTCGCAGAGCCAGCATGTAGCCATTGGCGTCGAGGGAGGGCAAATAAGCTTCAAACGGATTCGCAGCAATGTGTTCTAGCTGAGTATTCAAGATAGCTGATGAAGAAGAATCAGCTACACGACCGCCGAGATTGAGATTGTTTTTCTCGTCGTTCTGTTGTAGAGGAACCTCCTGTGACGCCTTTGTTCCCTCTCCATCGGCATTGTCCATCTCCTTCATCTTCTCCGTTTTTGCAGCTTCGATTTCTTTGGCTATATCGACTTCTTCAAGCCAACCATCACCAGCTTGGAAAGCTTTTCTCCCTCCCCCATCCAGATCCAGTTCAGCACCTCCTCCATCTCCTTCCTCGTCATCACGTCTAGAACTCCGCAAAAATGCTTGGTTCACAGCCGCTTGGAGACGTAGTTTAGCGTCTTCTTCGAAGAAGGGTGGCGCATCTGGCCGTAAAGCGCGATACATGCGCAAGGCCTCATTAATGCGCTTTTTCTTGGCAAAAGGGTTTCTCATGTCTTTAGTACTAAGAGAAATCCATCTTGAGACGCATCCGAGGACCTTTCTCCCCTTGAAAACGGTCTCAGGATGCCTGTGGAGATGGATTTCTTCTAGCCTTAATGTCTGCGGCAGAAGCTGAAGAGGCGCTCTCTTGATCGTTGTTCTGTGCACTATCAACGTGCTGGTCATCAGGAAGATGACGTCCAGGCACAGGAGGTGTGAGCGCATTGGGACGATCAGCTTCAGTATTATTTTTTAAAGAGGACTTGGTTGTACTCCCAAAAGGGTGCCCATCAACACCTTCATATGCGACATCTTGTCTTTCCTCATCAGCAAATAGAGATCCTATATCTGCCTGAGCTTTCCGCAAGAGCTTTGCGTGCTGGTCTTTTTTTAGGGCTCACGACCCTGATCCATCTTGATGAGACTTTCCATCTTGAGACGCTTTTTCTCCTTGAAAACTACAAGCCTCTACTTCAGGATGCCTCAGAAGATGGATAAAAACTGACCTTAATTTTTCGAATTTCTGAGATACCCAGTGAGGCGTTTTCTGAGCAACTTCATCGAGCAAGACCTTGCGGCCCCATGGCAATCGTTTCAATTTTTCATGTACTAAGCCTTGGTAGATAGTTCTTCGTTGTTGATTAAGGTGATGCCATACTGGGCCAGAGCAGGAAGAGCTACAACTCCCACCAATCTGCTCCAGGCACCGACCAGGTGTGCTCCCTGACGCGACGTGCACTAGTGCGGGGTTCTTCATTTTTCTTGGACACGGATGTAAATGAGGTGGCTTCTCATTTCACAATGACTCAGGTAAGGATCCTGTTCTTCAGGAGGATCGGCAACTCAAGCCAACATTATAGTCAACTCGCCTCGCGAAGATCATCATTGTTCTTGTAGAGCTTCTTCTCGTCCATGATATTTGTCCTCTCCACATCGCTCGTCTGCTGCAAGGTCGTGCATTATATCGCTCGACAATTCACCCTCACCGATCCAGCTTTTTCTATACAATGGATCATGACGCAAACATTCGTTCCGACCATGTCATCCAGAAACCGATGGATATCAAAACCGATTAGGCACAGGCAGAGCGAAGATCCAGCTGTCACTGGAAAACCCGCAGAGGCACACGGATCTGTGTGGCCGCGTCGTGAAAAGGGCAATATCTTCTTCATCCGCATCAGGATAGTTTTTCCATGTTTATCATGACGCCAACGTGGGCGTCCTCCATCATTGTGGTCTTCAACTTCATGAGCATGAGCATGATGATCATCTTCCCTTATTGTAACTCTGCAACGCCGTCAAAAACAGCTCCCACGTGACCCCGTCATACGGTGTTTGTACTGCCGTGACACCCATCTTCCCTACGTTTCTGATATGTCCACTTTGGTCATCAAAGAAAAACATGTCCTCTAGAGGTACTTTCGAAGCACTCTCTATTTCCTTAAAATGCTGTGTCTTCGCGCCGTAGTGAATCTGCACATAGGAGACTGCGTCTGCCATCGTTTCTCTCCTCCTTGGATTCGCTGAGGGTGGACCGATGTTAAACTTCTGGAGTAGCTCCTTTGCCCACCCTGGCTCATCACAGCAAGAGGCTATTGCGATCTTGGTGGAAGTGAAAGTCAGGGAAGGGATTAGAGTGGATGAAGTCTTCAGTAGACGTTATGGAAGCGGTCCTCAGGGAAGAAATTATGGAAGCGGTCAGGGAAATCCGGTGAAGATCGTGATTTGATGCATAAAAATCGCAACTGCTAAACCTCCAGTTGCACCTCTTGAATTCAATAGTTGTACAGGAAACTACTGGTCACGTCGATATTGACAACATCATGACTCAACAACCACAAATCTCTCTCTTCTCATAACAACACCTCATCTCCCAAACTGCCCAAAAGCTTTTTCTCCTTCCCACAGCTATCCGGAAAACTCTCCAAATAAGATCTAAAGTCTCCTCCCTTCCAGCGTAACATTAGAGCCCTCCGCAAGGCAGTGATCAGTTGGATCAGTTGATGATCCATGCATCCTCGAAAAGTACTATCATGCGGAAGTCTTTTTTTCCTGTCGTGATCGTCGAAAATCAATATGAATACGTTCCAACTGTTAGGATCCGTTGGAAGACGAAGACCCTGTGTGTAACACTCCCCCATACTATTTTTCAAAGATTGATCATCAATTACCATTTATAGCTAGTACAACAGCCTTAATAACAAGCCCCATATGTGCGGAACATCTCCCATCAATCGGACGATTTCCCCACGAGAGCTTTTACAAGTGTTTTCGGCTGGATCGTGGGTGAACGGGCTACCAGAAGACATTTGATACATCTCTGGGTCCCAGCAGCAGTTGTCCAAATCAAAAACAACCAATGAAGGAGGACGCATTTTCTTTATTGTTCTTACTTTGAAAATGTATGTGTACTAAATCTAGAAAATGATGGTTTTGATCATATTTCTTCAGTGTGAAATTAAAAGGTAAATCCAAATGATGCTGGTTTTGTTGATATATTTTGTTCCGTGAAAGGTAACGGTAGACGGAAGGGTAGTCCTTTTCTGCGGTGTATGGTGCAAATGTTCTTGACAGTGGTGGTTGTGAGTGGTCGTTGTGGACTCGTCTGCTATTTGAATATGCTGGCACATATTTTTCTTTCAGCTGTATCTGGATCTGATTCTAAGTACAACTGATTATTAGCATTTCTCGGTTCCTCTCAAAAAAAAGGGATTCACGATATCAGACTGCGTTCTGCCTTTTTTGAAAGTGAGACGATATCCGAAATAACACACGTAACTCAGCATCGAGCTGCAGCTCCTGTGTCTGACTGGTGTCTTTCCGTACATTCAAAAATAACAAGAAAAGTTTTTAATTTAGATATATTTATTATAAGTAATTAAAAGTCTTTTCATGCACGAACGTGGTGATGCGTCTTCATCTATCGGCATCTCAATCTTTGAGAAAGTAGCATACAAACTCCGATCCTAATCTATCATTTCGTTCATCGTAGCATTTGCCCCACCCCTTCATCTTCTGCAACCTCTATGTCTATCTGACCAAATATTTTAATAAATATCTATATTTGTGATCGTTAGATATAGATGTTGGCTTTAAGATTGAGTAAGTTTTTAAGACCTTCTTTGCGATGAACCACCTGAGACAAAATCTGCAGAATCACTTATTCCTCATCCTGATCCCTAAAAGCACCACTTCCGTCCAAAGCTCTACTAGGTGCACCTCCACCAGCGTTCACGTCCACTCTGGTGTGCAAAGCTTTGGATAAATGCAATTGAAACATCAGTTGCTCTGCTTTGGCCCGTCCGGCGATGGCGGCAGCTGTTTTCTTTCTGGCGATAGTACTGGCAGTTTTCGACGACCCTAGTTCCATGAAGAGTCGATTGAGCTGTGTCTGCAAGTCTAAAATTTCTTTCACCGCGCTTTGGTCTCGCTTTGTGGCCTGTGCAACGGCGTAGCGTTGCAGTTCACCGGAAAGGTCGCGGGAGTTAGAAGAGAGGTGTCGGCGGGTGATAGATTTTTTCTTACACTTGACGTAGTGGGAGACAAAGATACTCCAAGCTGATCAATGTTTTTTGAGAGAAGCATGATATTCTACTGTCAATGCGCTTTTTTCATTACGGCGTCGTGCTGTTCAAGTTCATGATGCTGATGTTTTTATGATGACAAGATGAAGATTTTTGATAAAAATTTAAACTGCATAGTAACTAAAGAAACAATGTAGCTCAAGCTCTTCATAACCAGTGCTCCGATAAATTCCTCATCGGACAAGAGGGGATGGCGTTTTAGCTCCTTAGTCTTGATCCAATGGCAGAAAACGTGGGCTTCTCCTAGCTCCTCCAAAGCCTGAGAAAAAGCAGGACAGGTGCGAAGTGAGGGATACCTAGTCTTCGACGAGGGATACGTAGTCGAACTCGAAGCTGAGCAAGATGTTGTAGTTGTCGTCGAACTCGGAGCAGTGGCTCCTGAAGATGTTGCTGATGTTGATGCCGTTTTAGTTTTTTTTGCTGCAGGAGGTTCTCCTGTGAGTTGTCCACCAGAAGACGAGGTAGTGGTAGAAGAAGATATGAAGATGTTCTTGTCCAAAATGCCCTGAGCAGCTTTCGTTGCAATAGCTATTTGCTTTTCTGCCTCCGCGATCTGACCTCGATGTACTGAGTAAATTGCCTGTTTGCTTGCCTTCGTCACGTCCCTCGAACTCTTGATGACTTCGTCACGGACAGCATCATATCCTTCAAAGACGGAACGCAAGTGGTCCAAGGGGTTCTCTGGCATTTCATTTGACTCTGCAAGCAGGGCACCGGGTACGGGCTCTAGAGGGGCATTCTCAGAGTTCTGCTCGCCCAAACTCAGTTGGTACAGAGTCTCCTCAACTCCTTTCACGATGTACTTCATGCCGTTGAAATTAGCAGAAACTAGAGGAAGGATTCAGCTATAAATAGAGCTGGCGGTAGTGTCATCGATATGCGCCTCTTGCAAAAGCAAAATAATGACACATAGCTTCTACCAAAGAACCCATCTTAACATATTTCTTCCGCAGAGGTCCGTTGCGAAAGTCAAATTTGAGCAGCTCAGCATTCGCAGGTACCAGCCAGAGATAGTAGATAGCTTCTATGACAGTCCGGTTCACAGCGAAGGAGCGAGCCACGACATCATTGATGTACTGCTCGAATATGCGACAAGACTCGATGACGGCAGCTACGATCACTTCTTCGTTTGTTAGAAGAAAGTAGTTCATGTAGGTGAAGAGAGATCATTTAGTATCTGTAAGTAGGAGCATCAAATGTAGTTAGAACTTAGAAGAAACATAGTATGATAGATAAATATAAAATATGTACCTGTTCTTCCTGTTCGTCCCTGCTTCTGGTGCTGGTGCTGCTTCTATCTTCTACTAGTAAAATAGAAAACTCGTGCAAGAATATCTTCGTAAGTATTTCTTGAAGGTCTTTCTCATTTTTTTTACTTATTTCAAAACTGTTTTTACTGGTACGGATGTTAACTTGCATACTCGTGTTACTCATAAACGCAGAGGTGACGATGCACGGCCAATCGCGCTGACAGTCGAAAACTCCACGTCGCTTGATTCGTTTCTCTTGTAGATGTCGAAGTCGACCTCTAAATCAGTGGAACGAAGAGTAATTAGGCCCTTGAGTAGGTCACTATTCCGGGTTTCGTCACGTGCCCAGTCGTATCGAGTTGAACCCCTGGTATTCACACCAGCACGAATGGCACGACGTAGAAAATCGAGCACGAATCGCAGCGCGACGATCTCTTCCATAGTGTGCCGCCAATCTTCGGATTTGCCTTCTAACTCGGATTTTCCACGGAACAAGTCCTCCAGGTGTTCTTGATAGTCACCATGACTGGTTAAACTTCCTGAATCTGTCGTTTCTTGCTCTTCTGTCGTGGAATTATGGGTATCACTTTAATATTTTCCAAAATTTATTAGGAGAACACAGATGAACTCGAGGGAAACTGAGCGCCCAAGGGAGACGCGAGAAACTGGAGAGGGCCAGCGACACGCCTCCGGCCGCAACGGAGGTCGCCGACGCTACAAAGACACACACACACCACGCACAAGATGCTCCGGTGCTATGCGGCACATCCTCGCGGCAGGAATCACGTGGAAGGGCAGAGGCGCTGCGGCATCCACCTCCAGGGGCGCCAGCCCCTTCAGCGGTGCGATCCATATGGGCACGATTCTCCCAGTGTATCCTACTGAAGATTTTCCGCTGAGAGTCTATACTAGAAACGCAAGGCATCTGGCATCATTAGGAGCAACTTTATTTTGGAATCATAAGAGCAGAACGCAGATGAACTCGAGGGATTCAGGCTCTTTTGTAACCATATGCAATGAAGAAGTCGTCATGAAAACCGAAATAATCGGCTTCATGGCCGCCATGTACAGCCTGAAAGCGTTTTTGCTTCACCTCATCCCGTATCTTCTGCACGTCCGGGAGATGCCTCTCCCTTTGCTGCTTTTCCTCCTGCATCCGCTTCACCATCTCCGGAAAAAGAGCTGAAGGAGAAGACATTTTGCTCGTGCTCGTGGTTGCCATTTTTTTGGTGAAGAATTAAAGAAGATTAAAAAGAAGATCTTTATACGTAACAAGTAGTAGGGGTTTCCCGAGCACCAGTCGTTGTCGTTAATCGTATTTTTGCTTACGAGGTAGTACGTAGTGGTGATGCAACTCTAACTACATGGATGTATCATTTAGAGCCAAGTGCAATTTACTTGCAAAGAACACCTTCCAGATCTGATCGGAAAAAGATTCAGTCTGTCCTGGAAGGTTCGAGGCTTGTCTTCAGAACAAGACCATGAGCTGAAGTAGTACGACGCCTCCTATGTCGTTATTGTTACGGTTATTGTGTTGACGGTGGATGCCGTCCAGCATCTTGATTTCTAGAACAAGAGTTTTTTCTGAAAAATTTACCAGCATAATTTTCATCACAGAATCCAAGAACTACAATTCTCGTCTGTCTTTGATGCATATGCATTGAAACTCTATGGCCCACATGCAACTTGCAAGAACTTCACCTCAGGCAGTTACATCACAGTCTCAGTCAGTTTTTTGAAGAATAATTCACAGCTTCCGATAAGAGCCAAGACGTCTTTAATGTTTACGTTTACTTTTTGTAGTTGGTTTTCACCTACACGACCTATATGAATGTTATGGTATAAAAAAAATTGGTATTAGCTTCATCTTCCATATTATCCTTCCTACGCTCGCCTAAACTTCTTCCCTCCAATCCAAAGTGCTTCACAATCAGTTGTGAAGAAGAAGGCTGTCTTTCTCCCCAGTCTTCGTTCCGCCTCAAAAATCCCCACCTGCCACCTAGTCTTGCGCAGTGAAGTCCCCACTGCCACCTAGTCCTCCGCAGTGAGGTCCCCACTGCCACCTAGTCCTCCGCAGTGAGGTCCCCACTGCCACCTAGTCCTCCGCAGTGAAATCCCCACTGCCACCTAGTCCTCCGCAGTGAAATCCCCACTGCCACCTAGTCCTCCGCAGTGAAATCCCCACTGCCTCCACCACCGTCCTCAGCTGATGCTTCCTGTTTCTGCTGGTGATAGCGGACCATGATAGGGTTGATAACCTTTTCCACTTCCTTATGTTTCGCCGTGATCATCTCCGCAGTCAAATCCGCGGAATGAGGATTAGAGGGATAATTCTAATATAGCTACTTGTGCTTATGCAGTTGCTCAAGTATGTCAAAATCACACTCGAGGTGCCATAATCCCACTCAAAAATTCCTCCACTTCTCTTGCTACTTTTTCTATCGCCTCCTTGTCTTCCCCAGAAAAACGATTGCCATTGTCGGATTCGTCTTCGGCTATTGTCCTCTGGACATTCCACACATAGCCATCCAATTCGTTCTTGGCTTCTACCATGGCCCTCATTTTTTTGGGATTAGAGGTTGGTGCACCTACTCCTACTGCGCAACATGAACATTATGATATTAAGCTAATCGATAATATTACTCGTTCTGTTTGTTGAATCCCCCATGATGTGACTTCACATCTTGTGCATTCGTAAGAAGGTCCTTCGGTTGTATCCAGTGATAGATAGTCGAAGAAAGTCCTTCGGAGAAAAAATGAATCATAATTAGCTTCTGAATTATCTATGAATCACTATCACATGATGTGATAGTGATATAGTTACAACTAGGACTACTTCTAATATGACAGTCTCACTATCACATCAATCTAGACTGTTATAGTTACAACTAGGACTACTTCTAATATGACAGTCTCACTATCACATCAATCTAGACTGTTATAGTTACAACTAGGACTACTTCTGTGACAGTTATCGTCCGTAACATCCGCATCCGCAAACTGCTCTGCTTCTCTTATACTTTGTTCTATGTCCTTCTTGCTCATTCGTCCTTTCTCATTTGTAATCGTGATGTGGCACTTTTTCCCACTAGCCTTGTCTACCGCTGACACGTTCAAAATGCCATTTGGGTCCAAGTCGAACGTTACTGCTATTTGCGGAATTCCTCTAGGTGCCGGAGCAATGCCGTCTAAGCGAAATTTGCCCATTAAATTGCAGTCCTTAGCCATGGCACGTTCACCCTCATACACCACAATGTCGACAGACGTTTGATTATTCGCATAGGTTGAAAAAATTTGCTCTTTCTTCGTGGGAATGGTGCTATTCCTACCAATCAACTTCGTCATGATACCACCAGCAGTCTCTAAACCCAATGAGAGTGGGGTGACATCGACAAGAACCAAGTCGTTTAGCTTTTCGGAAGTGTCGCCAGCACCACTCAATATCGCAGCTTGGATTGCGGCGCCGTATGCGACTGCTTCATCTGGATTGATACTCTTATTAGGCTCCTTTCCACCAAAATAATCCGAAATCGATTTCTGAACTCCTGGAATCCATGTTTAGAAGAACTACCGCGCCACATCTTCCTCCTTGACAGGCATATGATCCTTGCATAAGGCTTCTCCTTCTTCGTTCCTTTGAATGGAATGAGGCATGTGTCCTTCTAGACTACTAGGTTACTTCTTTGTGGGCCCCTTAAAAAAAAGGGATGTCTAAGAGATCTAGATCATGATGTCTAACAAGTAGAGGATGCAGCTTTCTCGGTCGTAGTTGCCTTAACGTGTACTTCCGCCTATCAAAACGATCTCATCTACTGCTTTCCTATCCACGCCAGCATCCTTCAGGACCCTTTCTACACAAGCCAGCGACTTTTTCACGTATTTCCCGATCACTTCGTTCTCAAACCTTTTTCTGTTCACCTGGAAAGAATAATCTGTGCCGTCAAAGAGTCCATCGACTTCAATAGTAGCCGACTGCGCTCCGCTCAGTGTCTTTTTGGCATTCTCACACTGTTGCCAAAGACGTCGTTTGGTGCGTGGATTTCGGCCTAGCTCTTCAGCATTCAAGGGATACTTCTTGCGGATGTCCTGTAGATAGAGTCAAAGTAGTGATGTGGGTTTCTCTTGCGGATGTCCTGTAGATAGAGTCAAAGTAGTGATGTGGGTTGGTCTTGCGGATGTCCTGTAGATAGAGTCAAATAAGTGTGGGTTGGAGGTCTTGGTGCAGATCGAGAAGCTCTACCTCAAGTTTATGGAATTGATGCGTACTAACGTTGCTTGTCTGCTGCTGAGAAGATGAGCATGAGAAGTTCATGTATAAGAATATAGATCATCTCTATGATCAACTACATTGAACGAAGAAACAGAAATAAACCTATCATTGATGAGCATTGAGTAGATGCTGACAAAGAAGGAGAGTTATTTTGCTAGTGCAGCCAAACATCCAGTTTAGCCCACTCGCAGCAGTGGAATCGTTCAAACTTATGACAAGGATCATTGTGACGAACGATATGGCCAAAATAGCCACGATAGAATCACTCAGCGCTTGTGAGGCAGCTGATACAAAACAACAGAAATGCCAAGCGGCTTACAAGCAACGACAAAAGTGTCCAAAATCAAGGCGTAGTCAGTGACTTTTCCACCACACATTCCCGTACCAATGTCAAGCGGGATGGCCACCGAGAAGTTGCCGGAGCGCGCCAGGTGAACCGGGATTTTCTCCATGGCGGTACGAAAGAAGTTGAGCCGCGTGTCAGCGCCATCGGGGCGTTCCCAATCAGAGCGCCTGCGAGGAGGGCCTGGGTGGTACATGGAATAAATATTTATAATGCGGCCAATATGCTCGAAAGAACCATGCGGCTTGGCGCTCGGAGGTTCGTGGTATCGTGATGCCTCAGGATGCACGTCAAAAATGTCTTTGGCCGTGCCTTTAGGACGCTTCGCGGTGCAACAGCAGATATGGATAATCGCATCTTCATGAGCCAAAGCGATGTTGCCAATCTTGACGCGGTCGCGAAGATGGGCGGAGATGCGAAACCTCGCACTACGAAGAAGTAACTCCATTTGCGGGAGTACTGACGAAGGCGGAGAGAACTCGTCGCACCAGATATCTGCTGGAACCGAGGAAAACACAATGTACTCGGAATCCGAAGGAAAATCAGAATTGCTTGCACCAACACGAAAAACAAGACTCCCGCTTTTAAAAACCGGGCCCCGGAAGAGGTTGCTGCACAGGGGCATGAATTGACCGTTGAGGGTAGGAACCAAGATAAGAAATCTCGGCCGAGCGACTTCCGGGATGTTGGATATGAACTTGTCCAAGAACTTAAGCGACGCGTAAACGAGAGTTGTCGGAGGAAACCACCAGGTTCTGTTTGCAAGAAGATGATCTGAGTGGTGGAAAGGCATGTCGCACAACGAGAAGGAGTGCTGCAGCCGAGGAAGCTCGAAATGGGAATCGGACGACATGGCTACTGTGTTGATGCCCGGGTATTTAGAATCGATGATCTTCCAACACCGAGGCGAAAGATAACGGTTCGGGCAGCGATCGTTCATGACGGACGCTGAATCCTCAAAGCGCGACAAGGCGTCTGCTATGGGGTTCTCGGCCCCAAAAATCTTACCAGCCACCAGTTCACAGCAATGTTCGACAACGAAAGTGCGAATTTCCCAAGAGGCACGGCTCATGTCGGGAGAGGTGGAGGAACCTTTGTTGCATGCCCGCTTGGCAGCGGGGTTGTCCGTGTAGTACATTATGATTTTGTTACGCACTCGGCCACCACTACCAACGAAGGCCTGAAGCAACAACACTGGGGTTATGGCTTCTTTCGCGTTGATAGATGACGAAGACCAGGAATGGTCGAAGAAACCCTGAAATCTGCATCCATTCACGGAACCACCCCAACCAGTTCCGTCCGCGGTAGCTGCATCGCCATGAACGACGATGAGTAGACTAGGACAAATAGTACGCAAAAACTGGTCACCGAACATCAGGACTTCTTCGCGCCACATAAAACACCTGTTGCCGTTGTAAAATAGCGGCGCAGCAGGGTCACCAGCCAAAGTTTTGCGCCACCAGCCAATTTCCGCCAAGGCAGCATGAGAAGGCTCAATTGACGGGTTGAATTTGCTGTTCTTCTGCCATTGCCTTGGAGCCCCAGAGGCTTGAATATCGTCTTGCATGGCCGAGACAGAGCCGCGATTGACCACAAAGGTACAGGACACACATTTGCCTTTCACCGAAGCAAGGTCCTTGACTTTGCATTTGCCAGAAATTTCGACATCGGAGAGGAAATCATCGATGAATCTAACATATTCAATGCGACGTCCTTCCTCAATCTTCATACACATCGCCCGGGTGTCACACTGAAAACCTAACCAAGGAAAACGCTGCGACGCTGCAACACGCTTGCCAGGCTTATCGTGCAGTTTGCAGCCGAGGGCAGTGAGCAGAAAAAATTGGCGCTCAAGATCCCGGTTGGTTTCCTGCTGGGATAGACACCTTGGCCCAGGCAAAACGGAACGAATATCATCAACGTAATCGAACATGTGCGATTTAATACCCGCCGAATGGCACACGCGGATGAGTTCTTTTACACTTTCGTCATTCTCCCCAGGCGCGGGAACCACCCCAAACGGGAGGAATAAGTGCGTGGCTTTGCACGGCACAGAGGGAAGATCCAAACCAAAAAATCGACGATGCGAAGGGTGAATAAGCCAGTGAGGAAAACAATCCTTGAGATCCAGGCCAGACACAAACGCGTTAGGCCTAAGACACTCGAAAAGGTCCCACCAAGACGCGTAATCAACCGGGGTTGCAAAAAGAGACTGGTTGAGGGCGCACGACGCAGCACTCCAATCACTGATGAGGCGGATTTTGGCACCTTGCTTCTGAAGCAAAATCGACGCGGGCGCGATCATGAGATCGGCGGGCGCTTCAACCGTGCCACCATGGGAGTCAATTTTGGACGCATCGTAAATGAAA